TTGCTTTGTATACTAACGCTTGGCATATGATGTATATTCACATGAGTTTAACACGCATGACAATCGTGTTTTATATGTTAGTGCGCTATTGACGTTTATCTCCTTTCTCACGGCGGTTTTCTTCTTCTCACACATTTGAAATAAGAATTCTTCTCATTAGAAAAAAAAATTTCCTTTTAATTTTCCATTATTATATTCTCTTCTCATATTCATATTTTATGTGACTCACATAATTATAAATTATGAAAATTTTTATTCCTTTTAATTAATCTATTGTTATTTTTTTTCCTACAGGGAAATAAATTTTTTTGTTTAAACATTTTTAAAATTTTTTTTAAAAAAATAATCATTTTTTTGTGATTTTATCTTATTAGAATTTTTATGATGTAATTTGAGGATGTTTTGGAAAATTTTGGTTTTTCTTCACTTTTTTTTTGTAATTACATTTGTAGACACGAAACTATTGTTTTTCATTGCTATATGTGATTTTTTTTTCTTTGCATCTTTGCATCATCCTGTTATCGATATCGTCACGGATGCCGGTCGTTACGTGCCTTTTATGCAATTAAACTTCCAAGAAAGCACAACTCGCGCCTTCTTTCTTCACGTGTCGACAGCAGCACGCAGTAGGCAAAATCACAAAGATCATAAAATATATATTTATGAATATTATTAAATATTTTATTTCAATTTATGTTTTTGTTTTTAAATCGTATATGTTTGATAAGAGTAATACACTACGCAATATTTTTATTTTTTTAATTTAACGAGTAAATTGATTTTGTAAATGTTTCAAAATTATTCAAACATTGATAATTATTTTCCTCATTAAATAGTTTATAATTTTGAAATTTTTTTTATTGCAAAATTTCCATACAATTTTTATTATTTTAATTTTATTTATTTATATAATTTTATCTTGTAAAAAAAAATTTCTGAAAAAGATTTCTAGTTATGTAATTTTTTTCGAATTATTTGAGATTTTATAAATTTTTTTTTTTTGTGTTATTACAAAACAAAAATTCTTTCCGCTGATGTCAATAATGCAACTTATAAAGTTACATGTGTACTAAACAGGAACTAGAAAATTGCTTCTATTTAGAAAGAAAGTTTGTGGTAAATGAAATTGAATTTCCCGCTCGAAGAATTATTCTCTGCAAGTCGAAAGTATTTTGTGCACGTAAATCTTCAGCTTATATGTGAGGTTATAAAATATTCACAATGCATTCTTCTTTTTTTTCATTTTATACTTTAATTTTAACTACATATAGAAATTTAATTAATTGTTTAAATAAATTTAATATACACTTAATATTTTTTATATTTTATTTTTATTGAAACTAATTTAATTAATTTTTTTAAATAAGTTTAAAATAATACATAAATCAATTTTTTAAATAATTTTTTAAATAAGTTTTTTTAAACAAATTTTTCAAAAATAAAATATTGTATCAAGAAATAAAAATAATAATTAGAAACTTTTAATGCTTATGTGTCGGTTTACATATAGAATAAGTCTTAAAGAATTTAGAGCATTTGCCTCGGCTTGCGTATAGCTATTAAATTAACACCTGTACGCGCCTCAGAAATGATTTCACTTAGAACAATGCAATTGATCATTAGGTATAATTTCCCACTAGAATAGATAACTTTATAAGTATATTTCTGTAGAATACGACGATTTAATTTTTTTTTTAGTTGAAATTTTTTATAAAATTACAATTTTTAATTTTAATTTTTATATTGAATTTAAAAAAAATTATAATTAGATTTAATAAACCAGAAACGTAAAAAAAACTCCAAAGAAAAAAGTAAAAGAAAAAGATTTTACTGCGCAGTTGCAAAACATTATGTTTCCATTGTGAAGTCACCTTTAATTCCGGGAATTCATCCCCTCCCTTTAACCGTTGCCGAAGCAGTCTTTGGTCATTTAAACGCGTACAAATTTCACACTTGTTTATCAAATTATTTGATTCAAATAAATAATTAATTATTAATATTATATTAATTATTAAATTTTTTTAATTATTAATATTATATTAATAGTTATATTAATTAATTATATGATTCATATAATTAATCATATTTCATATAAGATTTAATTTTAATTGTCTGGAATTTTTCTATTAGTTCAAAATTTATTTTTACTTCATTTACTGTAAATTTTATGCAAAAAATTTTTTTATCGCAATGAAACCTCTAATATAATTGATAATATAAAAAAAATTTTAATAAAGAATGAAAGAAAAAGATTTTACTTCGCAGTTGAGAAAAAATTATATTTCCGTTGTGATATCCCCTTTAATTCTAGGAACTCATCCCCTCCCTTTTACCGCTGCCGAACCAGTCTTTGGTCATTTAAAGGCAAACTAATTTCACACTTGTTTATCGAATTCTTTGATTAAAATAATTAATTATATTTCATATAAGTTTTAATTTTAATCTGAATTTTTTCTATCAGTTTAAAAATTTATTTTCAATTCGTTTACTGTAAATTTTGTTGTAAAAAAAAAATTATTCTTTTATTGCAATGAAGCCTCTAATATAATTGATAATATTTGCTGTGCATATATAATAAAAGCGTTAGCAACAAGAAAAGATTCATCTGAGATCCACTCGGAGGTCGTTTGCTGACACGTGACTGGGACCGTCGGGTACTCACAACACATATAATGCAATCGAGGCAACAGTACGATAAGTAAAGCGACCTCTTTGCCGTTTACGTGGGAGGAATAGGAAGTCGGGCATTAAACCTTAAACCTCTACCTTTCAACGCTCAAGTACTTATTTCAAATGGCACATCGTTCTTTGCAGTCTTATTATAAAAAAAAAAATTTTTTTTGCCTCCAGGGAATACAGAAATGTCAGGAAATTTTTTTTCCCTATTTAAAATTAAATATTTTATTAATTTTAACATAACCTAAATTGTTTTTTCAGTATAAATATTTCTTTAATCTTCATTCATCTAAATAATCTTCATCCAATAATGTAATTTTTCATAATTCAAATATTCGAAATGTTTGTTCGATTCTTAGAAATATAAAACAGTAAATTAAAAATAGATAATTTTTTTTTGAGGTTAGAAATATTTTTTTAATTCGACAGTGAATCTTTATTTATAATGCAATTAATTTATTTAAAAGGCGCCATATTTGAAATGAGAATTCTGTGTGTAAAATAAGAAAGGTGCCCAAACGCGGATAATGTCATATGGGATGATGAAACGCGAAAGGATTTAGCCTTCGTAACCAAGGCTGACAGCTTCAACTGTGTTAACAATCTGCTTTGAACATTCAGTTGCTTTTACGTGAATGCAACTTAATTCGCATGGTAGCGTTAGATAAACAAAAAGAAATTAAATTTTCATTAATTTTTGATTTATTAAAAAAAAGTTAGCAAAATTTTAAATTCAATTTATCTAACATAACCTAAAATTTAGTTTTTACTTTCATTGAACTCAAAGTGATACAAATAAACATTTGTTTCCATATATTTATTGTAATAGAAAAATTAAAAAAAAAATTAATCACTAAGTATTTATTTTTCTGTAAAAATATTTTATTATTTGTGTTTTTCCTTTCGGTATTTTTCTATAAAAATTTTTATTATTTATGTTTTTCCTTTCGGCATTTTTCTGTAAAAAATTTTATTATTTATGTTTTTCCTTTTGATTTTTAACTTCGAACGCTTCGGCGGCCGAACCAAGCGTTCCGCAGGGACGGCGCCAATCGAAATAGGGCCCTGGGCCTATAAATAAATATTATTCATCGTGTGACGATGCATTGGATTTGTCTCAACTACATTTTTTTCTAACTTTATTAAAATTGCTATTTAATATTAATATAAAAAATTCTTTTATTTAACTATTTATCATTGATGGTTCCATTTTAAGTGACTTTGCATATAATATACAGTTTATGTTCCATGAAGTCATATACACGCAGATGACGTGAGGCAATTTATACAATAATTGCCATATGTCGATTATGAAAACGGTGCAATTGTGATTATTATTATTATTTTTTTTTTCTTTCTTGACTTGAAGATAGAATAATATTAAGATAAAAATTTATGCAGTTAAGAAAGAAGTGGGTCGTGTAACGAATACCGCTCAATCTCTTGTCGCACGAATCACTCGTCTATATACTTCTTATAGTTGCACAAAATTGTTACGATTAATCGCAATCCGAGCGCATTGCTTACATTCTCACGTTGATTTCTCAACGCGAGCTAAGGAGCGTGACTGTCGCACGCCCCTGCGCATGTGCACTCTGCTCTTAAGCGCGTGTCTTTTTTTTTTCTCCTCCACTTGATATCAATAAATTATTGCGAGATTATTTCATTATTATTTTAATTTTATTAATTTTTTTTTTACAATTATTTTTTATAGTTTTAAAAAAAAATTTTCTTTGAACGAAATTATATTTTCTAACGGGGCCGAATTAGGTAAATTTTTTTAAAGCTTAAAGATAATAAAATTCTACACTACAAAAATGGGAGAAAAAATTTTTTTTTTTAAGAATTTAAAATTTATTACTTAATTTATTAATTGTTTATTACAATTTTTTAATTAATAAAAAATCAATAAATTTATAAATAATAAATTGTAAATAAATTAATAAAAAAAGTATATTTATTAAATAAATAACAATAAATATTTAATAAATTAAATTAATTATAACTTTTTAATTAATAAACAAATAATAAATTTAATACATATATAGGAATATATCAATCCTCCAAGTCCTCCATCCTCCATACTAAATAATAAATTTGTAACAATAAAAAATTAATAAACAATTTTGTTTGTTTTAGTTATTTTTAACAAAATTAATAGTTCTCTAATAGTTAATTCTCTATATTATTAAAGAAAAGTTTAAAATTTTTAAAAAAATTATATAAAAAATTATTTTTTAATATATATTTTTTAACATTTATTTTTTTATTATATTGTTTTAAATTAATTTTTAATTTAACTTTTGATTTTATTTTTGTTACAGATATAATTTAAGGTCGAATTTAAATCGAGACTGAAAACATGAGGAATTCCACTCTACTAAAATGGGCTAATTCAACTAATAATAAAAATGGATCAAACAAAAATGGAAGTAAGTAACTTTTGTTAAATAAAAAATTTATTTAAAATTAAAATATTTTTTATTTAATCTGACATAAACGATTTATGAAAGTAAGTTAAAATTACCTATTTTATTTAACCCTTTGCGGCACAGTGGTAACCCAGATTACCACCTATTTTATTTACAACTTTTCATACTGTATTTTAAGTTTTTTAAGCAATATTTATTAATTTCTTTTAAAGTGAATGAGAACATATTATTGAATGAAACGAAAATAAATGTAACAATATTTACGCAAAATTATAAACAATTTTAAATAAATAATTGTCAAAAAACTCATTATTTTGGAAAAAAAATTCATTACCGAAAATTTAGGTAAAAAGGGAACCGATATTTTGTACTCGGAGGTTTTTGGGGTCGCTGATTACGAATCTAAAGTCTGTTTTTAAAAATTCAAAATGGCGGATCCAATATGGCGGCCAATTTTTTAAAACTTGCTTGGATTCGCTTGAAACTCGTTACTCGGGGGTTTTTGGGGTCGCTGATTACGAATCTGAAGTCAGTTTTTAAAAATTCAAAATGGCGGATCCAATATGGCGGACGACTTTTTGAAAATCTAATGCAATTCGCTTGAAACTTGTTGCTCGGGGGTTTTTGGGGTAGCTGATTACGAATCTGAAGTCAGTTTTTAAAAATTCAAAATGGCGGATCCAATATGGCGACCGAAAAAATTTAAAAATCCACGAAATTTGCTTAAAACTTGTTACTCGGGGGTTTTCGGGTCGCTGATTACGAATTCAATGTTAGTTTTTCAAAATTTTATTTTAATTTTCTTTTAATTTTTTATTTAATTTTTTTATTTAATTATAAAAAATTGTTTAAATAATTTTTCGCAAAAATTTGTTTACCGACAAAATTTAAGTTTTTTATTTTCTAAACTAATTTTATTTTTTATTTTAATTTTTTTTTAATTTAAAAAAAAAAAATTTTAAATATGAACCCAAATTTTAAATAATATTTAAACTATTTATATTTGTTTGAATATTGATTTCTGTGACAATATTGATTTTTATTTATTTATTTTTTTTTTAATCGAGAAAATATTTAAGATACGCATTAGCCAGTTCTCCTCTACTATATAAATAACCGGAAAGATTAGATCAAGTAGGAAGATTTTCAGACCGTTACCAGGTGAACATATTAGCAGGTCCGTCATGATGTGCGTGTAATTTTTGTTGCAGCTTCGGGTAGAAACTGGATACACCCACCGGATGCGCTTCAAAAAGGCCACATCGCCTATCTAGTCAAGGTATTAAGTAATTTATGTTAATTTATTATAAATAACAATTACTACCGTTGCCAATAATCTATTTTTAATTTTTTTTTTTTTATTATTTTTAATGGGAAAACAAGATCCCCTTGAATTTCTCTCTATTTTATTACTTAATACTTTATATTGAATATGTAAATGTTTTTTTAACACAATATTTTTTTTTTCAATTCAATGGACAAATTTTTATTTAAATTAAAAAAAATTTAAGTACTGTGAATTATTTTGAATTATCCTAAATTATCTGGAATTTATTTTTCAATTATCTGGAATTTTTTTTTACTTTGGAGTACTGAAAGTACTTTTAAAATATCCTGAATTATCTTGAAGTATTTTGAATTATCTGAAGTACTGTGAATTATCTAGAATTTATTTTAAATTATCTGGAATTTATTTTCAATTATCTGGAATTAATATTTAATTATCTGAAATTTATTTTTAATTATCTGAAATTTATTTTTAATTATCTGGAATTTATTTTTAATTACCTAAAGTTTTTCAAAACTTATCTTAAGTACCTTGGAATACTGAGGATTATTCTGAATTATCTAAAGTATTGTTAATTATCTCGAAGTACTTTAAACTGATTATCTTAAAGTATTTTAATTATCTGAATTGTATTTAAATTATCTTAAAGTATTTTTAATTATTCGAAGTAATTTGTATTATCTGAAGTTTTCTGAATAATCTAAAATACCCTGGAGTACTGAAGATTATCTTAAAATTTGAATTATCAGAAGTACCTTAGAATACTAAAGATTATCTTAAAATATTTTAAATTATCTCAAAGTATTTTGATGTATCTGAAGTACTAAGAATTATCTTGAAGTATTTTGAATTATTTGAAGTACTTTAAATTATCTCGAAGTATTTTAAACTGATTATCTTAAAGTATTTTAAATTATCTGAAGTACATATTGAATTATCTTAAAGTATTTTTAATTATTTATAGTAATTTAAATTATCTGAAGTTTTCCTAACTATCTAAAGTATCTTGGAATACTGAAGTTTATCTTAAAATATATTAAATTATCTGAAGTACTATGAATTATCACGAAGTGTATTTTAAACTGATTATTTTAAAGTATTCTTAATTATCTGAAATACTTTGAATTAGATTAAAATATTTTTAATTATTTGAAGTAATTTTAATTATCTTAAAGTATTTTTAATTATCTGAAGTATTTGGTATTATATCGAAGTATTTTTAATTATCTGAAGTACTTTGTATTATCTCGAAGTATTTTGAATTATCTGAAGTACTAAGAATTATCTCCAAGTATTTTGAATAATCTTAAATACTAAGAATTATCTCCAAGTATTTTGAATAATTTTAAATACTAAGAATTATCTCAAAGTATTTTGAATTATCTGACGTACTATATAAATTATCTCGAAGTATTTTAAACTGATTATCTTAAAGTATTTTAAATTATCTGAAGTACATTGAATTATCTTAAAGTATTTGAAGTATATTGAATTATCTAAAGTATTCTGAATTATCTTAAAGTATTTCTAATTATCTGAAGTAAACAATAAACATAGATAGGCAAATAAAATTAATTAAAATACGTTTAAATAAATTAATAATAATAATAGCAATAATAATAATAATAATAATAATAATAATAATAATAATAATAATAATAATAATAATAATAATAATAATATAGAAATATTTTTCAAAAGCGTGTAATATTCTTTGAAATTTATTATTTTTATATATCATCAAATATATTATTGCATAATGTCTGTATAGGTATGTATCAAATACAGTCACAGGTCTCGCCATTCATTTCTCCGTGTATATTTTCTCGGTCCAGACCAGACTGACTGATATCGCGAATGGCACACGTCTTGATGCCGCGGGGATTGTTCATTCGTATGCCAGGTGCTTGAGCACGATACCAACCTATAATATATACTCTCTCTTCAGTTCATCGAACTCCAAAAATAAAACTATACACAATCGAATAAATATGTTCTTCAAAAATTTTACAAAAAATTTCATTTTATTTTTCCTATTGCAAATATGAATTTAAAACAAAATTAATTTAATTAAAATAATCGACTAGACGATAATAATAAAATACAGATATATATATATATATAAAATAATATAAATATAGAAAGAAATTTTATTTGATTCCATTGATTTTGTTATATTTTTTTAATCTTTTAACTGCCAGGTGCTAAAAAAGTCACGTTAGTGCTTGTCTCGTTCGGCCAGACCGTTCTTCTGCTGTTTCTTCAATATTTTTAGATCTTTTTAATTTTTTCTTTCTTTTTATATAGGATATATTACAATACTGAGTAAACTTAAAAAAAATAACCAAAAGAAATTTAGATAGCGGTCTGCCAGACCGTTATAGCAGTTTAAAGGTTAAATTTATCGTTTATAAATTTTTTTCCCTGAAAATTTCTATATTCTCTGATTTAAAACAATTCAGGTAACTTATCACTGATATAAATAATACTTTTTTTTATTTATAATAGAAAAAAATTAATTGGAAATTAATAGTATTCAAAATACAATAATCTATAATTTGTTTTTTTATGAAAAGATTTTATAATTAAAAAGAACTACATTATAAGGTTAGTTTATTGGAATTTTTTTTTTAATAATAAAAAACAATAAATAGTTATTATAATAATCTTTGTTCTATTCTGCGCGTAGAGAACGAATCCCTTTTACAGTTAAGAGTAATAGCAAAAATACTATTCCTGGCAGAAAGCCAGTCGCGTTCCCTGCCCTAGAAACGCGATTGCGACGACTTTTCTCTTGGATATCACCTTGACTATTGACCCGGAGTGTCACGAGGACAAACTCGATTTAACGGCTTTCATCTCCTATTATATTGATTTCCTATCAAAAAAAAAAGAAGTTATTTTTAAATATCATCGAGAAATTAATTAAATGTATTTTAATATTTTTTCCCAACGCACTCGAATTGTACTTTCATTGAATTGAAAAAAATTGAATTTAAATACAAAAAATTAAATTTTTTTTAATTTAAAAAAAATTCAAAGCACTAAATTTCAAATGAAAACGATTAAGTTTTTAAAAAAATCCACCATATTGGATCAGACATTTTGAATTTTGTTTTTTTGTTTAGTCTAGATTATTGGCAAAAGTTTAAATTATTTTATATATAACAACGTTAGTATTTTGCGTTGCTATTTTCAGGAAATTAATTATAGAAAATAATTTTTTTAATTCTATCACTTGCAGTACTTGGGCAGTACGGAAGTTGATCAGCCCAAGGGTATTGAGGTCGTTAAGGACGCCATTTGCAAACTTAAATTTAATCAGCAAATCAGAAAGAGTGAAGGGACAAAAACACCGAAAGTTGAACTCACAATTAGCATAGATGGAGTTGCCATTCAAGAACCAAAAACAAAAACTTCTCCAAAGGTTTGTTATAATAACGTATTTCACTATTTTCACTAAACCTAATTAATATTAAGTTTGTTTTTTTTAATGTTCTAATTACAAAAAAATTGCAATAAAATTATTTCCCTTTTTCGAACCGTCAGTCGGTAAGGTGGATTTCTGTGTCGGTAATTTTTTGTGTTTTCGTTTTCCAAAAGATCTGTTTTGCCATCAGTCGGTAAGGTAGATTTCTGTGTCGGTAATTTTTCTTTTTCTACTTTCAAATCTCTTAATTTCCTTTTGAATTAAAAATTAGTATATCCTTATATTTTTATTTTATTTATTGTTTAATTTTGTAATAATTTTAAAATACAAAAAAAAATTAAATAAAATAAGAAAAGTAAAATAAAAAAAATAATTCTGAATTTATTTGAATACAGCGAATTTTGCACCAGTATCCGTTACATCGGATTTCCTATTGCGCAGACGATAAGGGAGAAAAAAGATTTTTCACATTTATCGCAAAAGAGGAAGACGCAGAGAGGCACATGTGTTTTGTTTTTGTAAGTGATAAACTCTCGGAGGAAATAACGTTGACGATTGGTCAAGCATTCGATCAGGCGTATAAACGATTTTTAGAAACTTCCGGCAAGGATATTGAAGCCCAAAGACGCACTATTCTTTTACAACAAGAAATTAAGCGACTCGAGAGGGAAAATAATTTTTTCCGACAACGATTGCAAGACATCGCAGCCATCAAGGGATCGGTAAATTTTTTTTCATTCTCTTTAAAGATAAAACAAAATTAATGCCTAAGGAATTTTTTTTTCCATCTTATTGTAAATATGTATTAACTATATTAAAAAAAAATTGCAGGCGGATATTTCGTCGTATCTCTCGCAACATAATATTCCTGATATTTTATATATTCCGGAAATGCCCGCTGTATCAACAACCACAGCGTCAACGACAACAAATTCATTAACAGATATTTCACGAGTCAATGGAAATCCAGGGAAATTTATTCTCAATTCTAGTAATGATACAAATGGAAATGGTGCTCAACAACCGCCTCCAGTTCCACCGAGGAGTTTTGAGAAATCTTTTGACGATGATTTTATTGCGTAAGAGATGGAAATTAATTTTACTTTATTATTTTTTTGTTTTTTAAATTAAAATTAAATTTTTTATTTATTTACAGAAAAAATTCTACAACACCAACACCAGCAGTTGGTACAAAATTAGAAGGTCTTTTAATGGATGAATTTGAGGAAGACTTTAATCCAAGAGCTTTTGAAAATCCAAGCAATGGTTCGCCAAATCATCAATCAAATAATAATTCTCTTTTAAATGGCCAATCATCGTCGGGATCGAATTTCTTTTCACAATCGAATGGATTGAATTCCACTCCTCTTTGTGAGTAAAAGAAAATATATAACAGCTTTTTTTTATCAACAAAAATTATAGATGTTCATTATTTTTTTTTTTTTTAGTGGCTCCTCCACCGAAATCGAAGGATTCGAGACGACAGAATGGAGCGAAGGAGGATTTATTTGGAAGCGTTCCATTTAATCCTGCGCCTTTTGATAAAAACGATTTTAAGGATCCCTTCGAAATGGGAGAATTTGGTAGCATCACATCGAGTTCGGGACCAAGTCAACAGGAATTAGAAAATGCTATTGGTCTTTTGGATAAGAAACTCTTGGAAATGAAGGTATTTAATTATTATTTTCAGATTTCTTTGAAACTATTGACGTGTGAGTTAAGGTATAACAACTCGGGCAAGAACCTGCATAGTTCCTAGGGACTGGAAAAAGAACTACCCTAAGTCGAAGGTCCATAGTGTTCTATCTAAAATTAAAAAAACGACTGCTTTAAATTAAAGTGAGAGTCAGTGCTATAGTACGATGAACTTTGAACGAATGTTTGAACGTCGATATACAGTGAGAGTCACGAATCAATTTGCGAATTACTGAAAAAAAAGTTTAACGAGGACTACAGTCCATAGGAGTCATGCCGTTGGTAAGCCGAAAGGCCAGGTACAATCGACCCAATCTAACCTCTTTTTATTAGGTATTTCAAATCGATTACGCAATTCCCGTTGTAGATCCACTGATCATTTTCTTCTTACTGGTTTGCTTAGGATTCGGTGCTACCGTCACCATCGCAATTTTTTTTGACAATAGGTACCTCCTCTTGGCTCTTTTTTGCCTCTTGCTCTTCTCGGTTAATATCCTATAGCCCAAATGTTACTACCTCCATTATCTGCTAGGGCGTGCTTTTGTTTTCAACTCACTGACAAAATTCTAAAGAGTCTTAAGTCCGTTCTTAATAATCATGTTGAAATTCATCTGGACTTTGCAAGACTTTACCATCTTGGCGATCTCTTCTTCGATCCTCTGAAGACGGTTGGTTTCCATTGTCCCCACTCGCCATTTGTCATAAATTCTCGTCAACTACCGCACCCTGCTCTAGTGAAAATTTAGTGACTTTATTGTTAAAAGTAAAAATTACTAAAGTTTAACTGGAACAGGGTGCGGTAGTTGATAAGAATTATGACAAATGACAAGTGGGGACAATAGAAACCAACCATATCTATTTTTCTCCTTACCTTACATCTTGGTTTTAGGAAGTCCTTTAGTGAAAAGCCCCGCCGGATGGTTGTCATTGTCCCCACTCGCCATTTGTCATAATTCTCGTCAACTACAGCACCTTGCTCTAGTGAAAATTTAGTGACTATTGTAAAAAGTAAAAATTACTAAAGTTTTACTGGAGCAGGGTGCGGTAGTTGATGAGAATTATGACAAATGACAAGTGGGGACAATAGAAACCAACCCCTGATAAGAAGACTTGGATTAAAAAATATTAGAAAATTTCATCCCATTATCATATCAACTTAACAATTAAATCGTTTTTGAATTCTCTTTTTGTCCATATAACTTTAATTCCCAAACTGGGAGAAATTTCTTATTAATTTAAATCTATTTCTGTTCTCATCGTCTACAAAATTTTTTTTTTAATTAAGTTGAAATCGTGGTTATGTTTAAAGTACAGCTGTGGATTTGAAATTTTATTTTTTCCATACCTTCATAGGTAATTAAAAAAATTGGACAAAGAAAGAATTGTTTGAAATTGAATAATTCCAATACTTTTTAATGAAAGTCTTCCTACCAGGACGGAATCAAACTTCTTGCGTTACTGACACTAGAAACGTTTGAAGCACCATAAATGTCTTTACTTAAAGCTTTGCTTTCCATATGGTTCGTTTCCATTGTCCCCCACTCGCCATTTCTCATAATTCTCGTTAACTACCGCACCCTGCTCTAGTAAAAATTTAGTAACTTTATAGTAATTTTTAATTTTAATAATAAAGTCACTAAATTTTCACTAGAGCAAGGTGCGGTAGTTGACGAGAATTATGACAAATGGCGAATGGGGACAATGGAAACCAACAATATCTCTTTTTCTCCTTACATCTTGGTTTTAGGAAGTCTTTTAGTGAAAAGCCCCGCCGGGTGGTTGTCATTGTCCCCACTCGCCATTTGTCATAATTCTCGTCAACCACCGCACTCTGCTCTAGTAAAAATTTAGTGACTTTTCTTTTTAAATTAAAAGTTACTATAAAGTTACAATTTTTTCACTAGAGCAGGGTGCGGTAGTTGACGAGAATTATGACAAATGGTGAGTGGGTACAATGTAAACCAACCATAAGATGAGTACGTGAAGACGACTATTTTCTATAAATATAAAATAATAGACACAAACGATAGTTCTGCTGCTAAATCTTGTTAATAAACATTACAAACTGTTAAATAAATGAACTTACATCTATCTATCTATATTACTAATTCTACAGTTATTATAAAAGCAAATAATCGCCACTAACATCAAAATTGATAGTTCGATAACTAAACTGAATTAAGGTTAGGTTGCTGCCATGACAGTTAAGCTCACAGAGTTAGGGCCGTAGTTTAAATTTTCTTTGGGTACTTTAAAAAATTAAAATTCGAATGTTTAAAGAATATTAAAAATAGTAAAATCTAAAAAATTAAGGCACTCTCACACCTTCTTGGCTGCCTGCAGATTACCATGGCAACGCATGAGAGTGAGTGCGACAGAAAATTTAAAAATTTGAATATTCAAATTTTCTGTCTTACTCACACTCGTACGTTGCCATGGTAACCTGCAGGCAGGCAGGCAGCCAACTAGTTGTGAAAGTGCTTTTACTGTTTAGAAATTTTTTAAGTTACTTTTTCAAAAAATATGAATAATAAATTTTGTTCTTTTTGTCTAATTGAAAAATTAAATTTTTTAAGGATGGATTCAGCAGAGGCCTCTCCATCGACACTGACGATTTTTCCCTGGAAAGTCTCGATCCATTGAGAAATTAATAAAAAAAAATGAAGAAATTTATTCTCCCCATACCAACTCAAATAAGAAAAATTAGCGCGTCACAGACAAATGGGACCAATCGCAAGGCCTGAAACCAAAATTAGTCAATTTATTATACATTTAATCATATTTATATGAGTCTTCGATATTTATATATATATATAAATCACTCAATGAATAATAATCAATATTTTTTCTTCTATCTTTTATAAATTCAATTTATATGTATATTTAAATATATCAATTTTTTTTTTAATTACTTGACGAAAAATGAAATTTATGCGAAAATTTTCTAAATAGAATATATATTTATATATACAACATAAAGACACCAGTTATTGACAAATGAATTTTCCATTAATTTGGAATTTGTCAAAATGATTGAAAAATAAGTGAGAATTTTTTTTATGCGCCTTTTTAAAGAGATAAAAATCAAGTCTTTTTCTTGGGCAAATTGTTAAAAAAAAAATTAAATGAAAAAAAAAACGCCATCAAATAGATTAAACGGACATAAAACTAACTGATGTAGATTTAGAATAATTATTAGAATATAAATACATAGTTTTCCCATTCTCCTGATATTATGAAAGAGAAAAAAAAAGATATATTGTAACTTTCTAACAAAGTGATCGATTGAAATTTTCTCAGGAATGGGAGAAAACAATTTCACCTATTTTTATTGCGATCCTTCAACTGTTTATTATTATTATTTTTTTTTTTATTATCAATTGCTCTTTTATAAGAATAAAAAAAAATAACTAGCTAATTGTGAGAAATTTCGCCAACGGTCCGATTATAAATGATTTAGATTTATAGAGATTTTTATAGAAAGAAAGAAAAAAAGTTTCTTCTCTTTTTTTTGTTTCTTTAAATTAAATTTAAGATCTGAAATGTTACTGCGATGCAAGAAAGTAAATTATGTACATATATATATTATACTATTGTTGTTGTATTGTTTAAGCCTTTTCTTTAAGAATATATCGCATTATTATTATTTCTCATGTTTTCTTATTACAGTTACTATTTAATTTTTAAATATAATTTTATTCGATTAAATTTCAATATATTAATTATTATTATTATTATTTATTTTGCTTCATTAACATTCCAATTTTTTGTTACATGTCTGTAAATTATTTTTCAATTATAAAAAAAATTAAAAATTTTTTTTAGAATTCCTAAATTTTTTTTGATTTTTTTCAATTTTTTTTTTAACTTTCAGTCTTCTTAAATTCAAATTTTTTATAAACCATTTTCTTTCCATATTTAATCGTTAATTAATTTATAAAAATTCGTCAAAATAATAATTCTAATAAATATTTTTAAAAAAGTGAAAATTATAATAAATAATAAATTTTCACTATAAATAATGATTAAATAAATAAATAAATAAATTTTAAATTGCAGTTATTCGGAGAATCAATTAACAAATGACATTCATTTGTCATTTTGGCATTTTTTTGTCGTACATTTTTTTTTATTTAATTTTGAAAACTTTCAAATTTTTGTTTCTTTTTCTCGTCAAAAAAAATTAATTATTTTCATTGGTTAAAAATGCTCATAAAATTTTTAAGTTTTCTTCACATTTTCCTATTGGTCACGACCAAAAATATATCTTTTGCACAAACAGAAAATTTACAAGGTAACCAAACATTCATATTATAAATTTTAGAATTTATAATCTTTTACATTTGTTTTACATTTTATCATTTTTATATATTTTTCATTTTTTTATATTATAAATTTGGGAATCATTTTTTTTTAAATATTGCATTATTTAGAAATTATTTAGAAATTTTTTTTATTATTTAGAAATTCAATTGACAGATGATTATAAAAATTCACTTTCTTTCATCGAGACAAAAAGTAAGTGTAATTATGAAGATTCTGGACGCAGATTTACTAATGAAATAAATAATATTGGAAAATGTATGAATCCATTCTATGTGAGTTAAAAAAAAAATTTTTTTAATTAAAAATTAAAATTTTTTTTAAAATTTAATTAAATTAATTTTAAATTAAAAATTTCTACAACGCTCCGAAAAGTGGAAATCAAAAATAAATATTTTACTTAATTAGAAAATTTTCGAAAATATTTTTCTTTCTCAAAAAAATTAAGAAAAAAAAATAAATAATTTGCCTAAAAATTTTCGAAGGTTAAAAAAAAAATATTTTTTACGAATTGTAAATATATTTATTAATTATTTTTTTTTTAATAAGAAAGATATTAAACAATTTTTTCTTTACAAAAAGAATAATGAAGAATCGATTGATAATAATGTTGATGTTGAGAAAATTGCCAACAAAAATGACGAAAGAAGTTTAATTGCATTGGAAATTGAAAACTATTATGATGAGGTAATAAATTTTCAATTTTAAAATTTGTGTATTTTTAATTTTTTTCTTTTGCATATAATTTTTTATATATATTTATTAAAACATATTATTTATATATTAAAAATATATCTATTTTACATAATTTTTTTCAGAATAACGACGATTATCCACAAATTTGTTCCTATAATATAAATCCAACATTTGATGAAATTTGTCCTTTGAACAAAGACGATTAATAATTTGTAAGTTTAATTTTTTTGTAAAAAAAAAAAATTGTAAAAATTAAAAATTTGCCTCTTTCAGATCTCTAGAATTCAGTTTTGAATACAGAACAAAACAAAAAAAAATTTCCAAACTACTTGTTACAAAATTAATTTAAAAAATTAAGTTTTCAATAATTACATTGATATTTATAAAATATTTTAATTAAGCATTAGATTTGGTAATTTTTCATCAGCAACTTCATTTTTTAAAGCATCAGTTAAAAATTGAGTTTCATAATCTTCCAATAATTTAATATTATTCATAATACATGCCATCCATTTTGATTTACTAATTTTTTGACTATTCAATTTTACCAACATTACATAATTTCCCGATATTATTTTAGGCTCAATTGATTCTATGTCAAATCGAATGGCAGGTAAAATTAAAATTTCATTCTTATCCCTTGGTAATAAATTTTTGGGATTTATCACTAAAAATGGATCATTAATTGTTGCTTGAAACAAAATTTTTGTATTAACATTATTATAATTCATTTCATTTGAATAAAAATCAGTGGCACTAGGCAAATCATAATTAAAAACAGTAAATTCCATTATATCCAATGTTTTACCTTGCAAAAGTTTTGTAAAATGTTCCGAACTTTTTGATTCTAATTTATAAAATGTTAAAGGCGTTACAATTCCACTATGATCAATTTGTCGAAGTGCAATTCGATAAATTGCTTTTCGAATTAATAACGATTCAGTTGAATATAAATTAATGTATGAAAATCTATTGGTGATGAAATTTGCAAAAGAATACAAATCTTCAAATGAAACACAACTGTACAACATTCTTTTACTATAATACTGAAATAATAAACTTGGATCTGTAAAACTAATACTATTCATATAATAATCACCGTATAAATCCCTAACACGTTGAATTGCAATATTTTCCGTTAATTTCGATTCAACAAATTGATTGTATCTCAATGTTTCATAAAGTTGAACATTTTCTATTCTATAACGATAACTCCAATCGGGTTGACAATTTGTTAATTTCCATTCATTGGCAAAATCCAAATAACTTCTTCTTTCATCATCAAATATATAATGACGTACAATTTCCCTTGCCTCTTCTTCGTCCATAAATGTTTTTATAATTTCAATACAATTTTCTCTTTCTTCCAATAGAGATAGGTAATTTTTTGCTCTTTTTGCATTATCAGCTATCAATCCTCTACCACTGAGACCTTCGATTTTAATAATATTCAAAAGAACTCTCAATGATTTTGGTGCAGGAGCCAACACGCCATCGACATTTAGCATCCATTTTTTGCTTCTTAATTCTCCGGTCTCAAGATTTATCATTTGATAAAAATTTTTTTTATTTACCAAAACAACTGGTACTTTATTTTTATAGCCACGTACACTTCTTAATTCAACGTGTTTTTCTCTATAGTGAAAATATTTTACACCATAACCATCGTTACCTGTTAAAGTATCAACAAATTTTGTATAACCACGATAGGTACCAATTTTCAAATTTACCCATTGTTTCACTTTTAGTACATTTGGTAATAATTTTATTTTTTGTTTAATTAGACTAAAAAATTTACTTAGTGATTTAATAGCAGATTTTCCCAATTTGTATGATAATTCAATTCCCGGATCTAAAGTACGAAGAATCGATACTCCAAAGTCACGGAATAATTCTTTGGTAATTAATTGAGAAAAAGTTTCACTCGTTTGTAGGGCAAAATTTTTTAATGTTACACCAATAAATTGACCAATTGTAAATGATTTCAGACCAAAATGAAAATTAGTCAAAAGTGGTTTTAAACCTGCATTGAAAAATTTTAATCCCGTACTACCCAGTTGACCAACAAATGGAATTAATATCAACGAATCAATAATACAAGCGCAAGCTGCAATTACAGCTGTTTCTTTTTTTGTTGCCTCAACACATGTATAGAATGGAATAAAAAATTTTAAAAATCCCATAATTAATTCTCTTGTCGTCGATTCATAACCCAATTCTAAATAATTCAAAAATGCCAATCTTCTTGGTTCAACTAAATTTGTCAGCAGCTTGTCAAAATTTTCATAATGATATTTAAGCGGTTCTTTAGACGATGAAACAGTGAATTTTGTCTTTTTATGTAAACCTATTTTCTCCATAAATAAATCCTGATTGCTTTCAGCATTATGTAAACTCCTTGTATCATCCGTATGTATCAGAGCATAAAGATATGGATCTGAACCATTAACTGAAATTTGAAATAGAGTAGTGTCACTTCTCAATTGTGGTGTCAGTGCACGACATCTGAAATCACATTTTCCTTTTCTTTTAATTTCAAGTGGATGTATAATCACATTTTTCTGTTGGATAAATTTTATTAATTCATCGCTAAATATTTCTTCGAGATATTTTTTCTCCACGTAAGAATAAAGATTGGCAATAAATTGATTTTGATCTGCAAATAATTTATTAATGTCTGGCATTTGAAAACCATCTGTCTTGCAATAGTAATCATCATTATTGTATTTGTATTTTTCAACTTCTGTTTCGTATTCCGATTCATCAGCCAATGGACACATACGTCTAATAATGTACTCTGCATATTCTGTACGATTTTTATAACCAAATATCGCTTTCTCGAAATTATAAACTGGATTTCTTTTTTGTATATCGCTAATATTTTGTTTCACTGCATCTAAATTGGAGAAAAGATAATTGTAAACTTTATTCCAAAATTCGTTGTCACTCAAAAGAATATCAATTCTTCCTAAATCTCTATTTTTGTCTGTATAGTATAAAAGTGCAGGAAGTTGAAAAATCTTCAATGCAGTTTGATTTAATTGATTCAGAAATACTCCTTGTTGAATGCTTTGTGCAATTGTTATATATTCATAAAATGAAATATTTTCCTTTACTTGTGCACTTCGAACAAACATTAAACCAGCTTGAGCATAAATATAATCAACATCAACTATTTTCAATATTTCTTCTTCTTCTTCTTCTTCTTCTTCCACATCAGGAAATAAGGGAAATAAAAATTTTTCCGTTATTTTTTTAACGGACATTTCGCTTAGTTTAGAAATTGTAAAATCTTGATTCAAATAAATTTGTTCAGTTAGTCCATTCATAATTTTTCTCTTTACAAACGGTAATGTTAAATTATTTATTGAATTCACTATTGCTGCTAAATAACCAAATGTATTGAAAAATTTCGAAAATACTACGGTTAGAATAAAATTATCAAACATTGCATCAACATATTCAAATTGAATAGTTTCATTTTCTCTAGATCCATAAAAGTCAGTATTATTTAATAGTTTCCTACCGAGAGCAATAATTGCATTTTTACTATTGTTTTTTCTATCTGAATATTCGTAGAAACTATTTACAATTGGAATTGGTTTAAATTGATCATTTTCTGTTAACAAGTTTTCATCATAAAAAATGTTACTTAAAATATTTATTACTTTGAAAATTGATATAAAATCAACTGATCTTAAGGGAGTAATAAAAAAATCGGTATTGTTCATTACAGTTATTTGCGTATATTAACGAAATATTATTAATGCAATTAAAATAAGACCAGATTTTGAATATTTAATTATTTTTTTTTTTTTTGCAGAAGAAGAAGGATCTTGATTGTTGAAAATATTCATCCGATTTGGTATTTCTTCATAGTCGAATGTAATTCTGTAAAAATATATAATTATGGAAAAATATGAATATAAAAATACAAATATAAAAACATAAATATAAAAATATAAATATAAAAACATAAATATAAAAATATGTATATAAAAATATAAATTTAAATATAAAAATAAAAAAATATAAATTTAAAAATGTAAATGTAAAATATATTGAATATAAAATATAAAAAAATATATAAATAAATATATAAAAAGGTTTATAATAAAATTAAAAAAAATTAAATAGTTATATTTAAATTGAAGATAACTTTTTACTATAATAAATTTCATATTTGTTTAAGCAATAATTATTATTATTTTTAATTAAAATTTTAAATGAATTTTAATTTTAATCAATTATTATAATATTAATTATATATAATAATATAATAAATAATAATAATAATTAATAAAAAATAAATTAATAATTAATAAATTTTTAAATAAAAATTGTAATTCTTTAACGTATCCCAATTTTTTTTTAACTCACACACCCAGAAATAAAGATTTCTTTGAAACAAAGAAATCTTTTTTTTTAAATCACTTTTTGAATATCAAACATGAAAATTTATTTGAAATAGAAAAAGTTTTCTTTGCTTTTACAAAAAAAAAAAAAAATGTTTGACAAATTTTTTTGATTCAAAGAAAATTTCTTTCAAACAAAGAATTTTTTTTCTGGAATGTATTTTTAATCCATTATAAATAGCATAGCTCGTATTCGGAATTTTAAACAAATTATTTATTATCAATTTCAAATAATCTAATTTTATTTTTGGGATTTTATATTTCTTTTATAAATAAAAATGATTTTCTTACCTGTATTCTGTTTTTTTTTAAAAACTAAAATTGTACTAGTTTAATGAATAACGAAATAAAATATAGAAAAATATCAATTTGCAAAACATAAGTTGTCAGTTTTAGTTTATTTAAGAGGCGTATTTAATAATATTTTCCACTTGTGTATACAAATATTTTTTAAGGTAATAATATTTCAATTTTCATTTGGCTATGAATTGGGAGATTATATATTTTTTATTAATGTAAAAATGATCAAATAGTAACAAATTATCAAAGTATAAATTATTAACACATGTATATATAAATATATTTCTCGTAAATTATTATATATATATATTTTTTTTTATCATATCAAAAATGGAATAACAATTAGATCGTTAAATTAAAAGTTAAAAATCAGACTTTATCAGATTTTCAGGAAAGAATGTAGATTATTAAATTTATTTTAGTAATATGAGAATTATTATGTTAATGCACATATTTATTTTAATATATATATATATATATATATTTATACAACGAAATGTTTTTTTAAATTACAATTTTTTTGAACCACAAAAAGAAATAAAATCGCTTAATTTTTTTTTTCTAATTCAGTAAATCAACATCAAAATCATTTAGAACATTATCATAAACCTGAATTTCTTTATTTAATTTTTCAATATTTTGATTTAATGTTGCTATCCATTTGGATTTATTAATTGAAGTATTTTTTAAAATTACTTTATATACCAAATTTCCATCTATATAATGATAAAAATCAACATCCGATATTAAAAATTCAAAATTTGGTATAAGTACCGCTGTCGATGATTGTGGTATTAATTTTTCTAAATCAATAATTAAATACGGATTATCAACAATTATTTCATATAAAATATGTACAGAGACACCATCAGGTATAATAGTTTTTAAATTTTCAACAATTGCCAAAGGATTTAAATCCAGATTAATGTAATTTTGAAATTGTTTAAATTGACCTGATTTAATTGTTAAAAAAACATGAGCAGGAACTTTTTCGAGTTTAAAAAATGATCTAGGAACATCGTAAGCAGGAATATCGATAAATCTCATAGCAACTTTATTAAATGCATTTTGAATATGCCAACCCTCGGGATTTTGTAAACAAAATTTTTCAGGACCATTATTTAAAAAATGTGTAATTGAACAAAAATCGTCAAAATTAACATAACAATGGAGGTGATTAATTTTGTAAATTTGGAAATTTTCACGTACATTAATTCCAATTGTATTGGATTTATATTTATTTTTGAATAATTGATTACTTCGATCAACTGCTTCTGCTTCTGTTAAATGACCACTTTCTAGAAAAGTATTATACCTTAGTACTTGAAAATCGTTTATATTTGTCAATTTATAGTATTCCATCCAATCGGGTAATTTATTATGAATTAGAATGTATTCAAGAGCACTTGTTCGAAGATCAGAATCTTCTAAAACATATTGTCTCAACGTATCAGAAAGAAAACTTTCCTCAATTTTATCACGCCATTCTCTTATAACATTAGCCTTCATTAAATCTGTTTCCCTTTTCAATGTTTGCCTTAAATTATTAAGACTTCCACGTCCACCAAGTCCTTCTGCAACAATTGTTTTTAGTCTAACTCTCAATGGTTTAATTTCAACATGTAAAATATCATCTGCATTTAATTGCCATCTTGTTGGCGTTAGTGTTTCACTTTCAACATCAATTATTTGATAAATTTTTTTATCAGATTTACTGACCAAAACAACTGGTACTTCATTCTCGTAACCTTGAACACGTCTTAATTCAACGGTTTGTTCTTTAATTTTCAAATATTTTACTCCATAACCATCTTGACCGTTAATGCTACTAACAAAAACATCATGATGTTCAAAAGTATTCACTTTAATTACAGAAGGTTGCGATACTTTTTTTAACGATGTCAAAACATTTGTCAATGACATTACTTTACGTTCAATTAATTTAAAACAATTTACTATTGCTTTTAGACCAGCTTTTCCTAATGTGTACAAAAATTCAATTCCCGGATCTAAAGTACGTAAAATCGCTGCTCCAATGTCAAGGAATAATTCTTTGGTAACTAATTTCAAAAATTCTTCACTAGTTTGTATGGCAAAATTTTTTAACGTTGTGCCTATAAATTGACCAATTGTAAATGCCTTTAAACCAGTTTTGTATAATAATAGTGGTTTGAGTGCGGCATTAAAAAATTTTAAACCCGTATTTGTTGCCTGTCCAACTAATGGAATTAAGACAATTGAATCAACAATACAGGCGCAAACAGCAATTACCGCTGTTTCTGTTTTTACTGCCTGAACACAAGTGTAGAAGGGTAGGAAATTTTTCAAAAATTCCAATACAGATTCTCTTCCCGTCGATTCGTAACCATGATCTTGTAAACGTTTGTAAAATTCCAAACGTTTTGGTTTAATTAAATTTGTCAAAAATGTATCAAATGTTTGATTATCTTTTTTGAGGAATTCTTTAGCATATGGTACATTGAATTTAGTATTTTCTGATAATCCCAGAGTGTTTAGAAACAAATTTGAATTATTTTTATTATTAATTAGAATCATGGTATTATTTTTAATTAATGCATAGAGAACTGTATCAACACCATTGACGTTAGTTTGAAAAAGAATCGTGTCATTTTTCAATGTAAATTGTGGTATCAATGCCTGACATCTAAAATTACATCTATTTTTAGGAATTGCTTCGATTATTGAAACTGTAACATTTTTTTGTTCAATAAATTTGATAATCTCCTCGCTAAATGCATCGGCAATAAATTGTTTCTCTACATTGGAATAAAGTTTGGCGATATGTTTATTTTGTGATGAGAAGAGTTCATTAATATCCGGTAGAAGGAAATTATTCCTTCTTTTACAGTGATAATTATCGGGATCATTTTTGTAGTTATTAATTTCTTCCTTGTATTCGGAGTCATCAGCCATGGGGCACATAATTTTCAAAACAAATTCCGCATATTCAGTACGATTTTTATAAGCAAATAATTCTTTTTCAAAAAGATAAACAGAATTATTTTTTTGTAGATTTAGAATAATTTCCTGTTTCTCATTCAAATGAGAGAAGAGAACAAAAAAGGCATCATTCCAAAAATCTTTATCTTTTACAAGAAGGTGGAAACTATCATTTTGTCTATTTTTGTATGCATAGTACAAGAGAGCAGGAAGTTGAAAAATTTGCAATACTTTTATATTTAAAAGACCATGATGAACACCTTGTTCGACACTTTGGGAAATTGTGATAAATTCCTCAAAAGTTGTATTAGCCGAATAAATATGACTATTTCTTGTAAACATTAAACCAGCTTGTGCGTAAATATAATCAATATCAATTATTCTCAATTCATTTTCCTCCGGCGGTTCGGGAAATAGAGGAAAAATTAAATTTTCCACTATTTGTTTAACGGAAATTTCGGTAAGTTGCGAAAATTTTAAATTCTGATCTAAATATTTTTGTGCAAGAAGATCTTTTTTAATTTTCATTTTTAAAAATGGTAAAGTTAAATTATTTGTTGATTTCACTATTGTTGCTAAATAACCAAATGTATTGCCAAATTTTGAAAATACAATCGATGCAATAATATTGTTTATCTCTGCATTTGCGTATTTAATGTCAATAATTTCATTTTCCTTCCCTCCATAAAAATGAGTGTTTTTTAATATTTTCTTAACAATACTAATTGATGCATTATTATCATTATTATTTTCTTGCAAATATTCACAAAGTTTATTTACAATTGGAATTGGTCTATATGGATTATTTTCTGTCAATAAATTATCATCATAAAAAATTTGACTCAATATACTTATTGAATTGAAAATTGAAACTAAATCAACGTTTCGTAATGGAATGATAAAATATTCTGTATTATTCATTATTTTGCGTAGCCAGTAATTAAAATTTAATAATTCATTTAAAGTATAGAGAAATTTAATTTCTATCAATTTCCTTTTATGAATTTGTTTTTTGAAAATATTTTATGCTCGCAGGAAATTGTCTTTCTTCATACAATGAAATGCAGTTCTGCAAAAATATAAATATTTTAATTTTTCCCAATGTATTCATTTTTATGATTTATAAAATTTAGATTATAAAAGTTTTTATTTGTAGTATAATGTATAAAATCTTGTAAGGTATTTTGGAATTTAAAACAAAAAATTCAATATTATAATAAAGCAATAATTTTTTACCTGTATTGGATTCGTCTTAGTTTGATGTTATAATTTATGGTTACCAAATTTTTTTTTTTTTTCGTAAAATGTAAGTATCTTAATGTAGCTATTAAGTAGTGTCCGAAAAAAAATTATTATTCACTAGTTTCAAGTCAACGATATATTTTATATAACCTAGAATTTTTACATAATTCCTGTATTAAAAGTTAATTAAATTCATACGAACTAGTTTTGAAAAAGAATTAGTTAAAAGCAATGCTCAAGGTTAAGGTAAATACATCTGTATAAACAACACTTTACAGGGACATGGAAAATTTGTTAATAAATTTAAATTTTTCTAAAATATTATGAAATAATTATTTCTATTTATTATAGAATAATAATTATAAATGTTAGACTTTATAATACTTTTTGAACTCAAAAAAATACATATCATTTTCATACATATTATTAAATAAAAAAAAATATTTTAATTAAAACGACTTAAATCGTATATATATTTTATTTCGAAATGTATTTAAAAAATGACGCAACCAAATAGGGTAACGGGTATATAGTGACCGACACCCTATATAGGCATACTTTCAAGACATTTTATCGGAATTTATTAAAGATTTAGTTACAAAATAAATTTGAAATAAAAGATTTGGGTTAAAATTTATAATACATATGTTTAAGATTAAAAAATACTTTGAAAAGAATTTATAATACTAATTTAAAAATGTATAGTATGAAAACAATGAACGACACCCTTTAATAAAATAAAAAATATTTAAACTACTATTTAATTAATATTAGATAATTTATTTGTTTTATGACCAAAGCCAATACAAAGGGTTGCCGCCGTTAACAATTTTATTTCTTTATCTTGTCTTCATTTTTTCACTTAAATCTCTAATGTAACAATACAAATTCATCATAATTTCGTTTTGAGGTTTCTCTATAGCATATCCAGAAAGGCGCACTTTATAGTAAATTCATTTTGATCCTTACAAATATATTTTTTTCTTTCTTCCGTTAGAAAAGGGCATTCAACTAAAAGATGGTAAAATATTTCTAAAGTATTTTCTCCGCATCCACCACAGGTCCCACTCACATTCATCTTATAGAATTTCTTTTTAATTGAAAATCTGATTATTTAATAATCTGATATTTAATGTACAAAAAAAGTTGCTTTTAAAATATAATTATTTAACAATTTCTTCATATTTATAAAATTTGTAATCAATAAAGCAAATTTTTTTAGGTTAGCTTTCTAGAAAGTAAAATATTGAGGAAAATATAAACATATAAAATTTTGTGTCAACTGTATCAGTTTCTAAATATTGTATATTAATTAATTTATTAGTGATATTTAATTCAATACTATTATTTTTATAGTTATTATCGTTTTTAATAGCAGGTGTTAATGTCAGTGTCAGAATCTCGAATAAAGTTTAGTTTGGTTTAGAGCATTGATAATGTAGAAATTTGTATGTAGAGGCGAAACTCGATGCTATATAAATAAGGTGGTGCTGCAGTCGCCTGGTTCGTTATTTTTAAAAATAACTGAATTTAAAAAAGAAAAACAGTGAAAATCAAAAAAATGGTATAACACATTAATTATTTGAATTTTTTTCTAATTATTTTAATAAAAAATTTTATATTATAAAATCTTCCGTTCTATAGGCTCCAGTCTTATATATCCAACATGAATTCAAAATTTTTGTAAGAAATAGTAAATTAAAGAAATTCTTGCGGGTAAAAATTATTGTTACACAATTTTTATAAATTTATTTTTTTCTTTTTTATAACAAAACTGAAATTATAGATATTCCAAATTTTGTAAAATACATTATGGATCACAGAATAAAAATAATGATTAACATATTTTATCGATCGAAAACAAATTTTTTATTCAGTACACATTTAAAATATGTAACTCACTCTAACAATATAATTATTTAAAAAAAGTCAAACGAAATAAAAAATTTTTATTAATAACATTACATTTACAAACAACTAAATTATAATAAATCAATATCAAAATCATCTATAATACTATTATAAGAGGCAATTTGTTTATTAAATGTATCAATATTTTTATTTAATTTGGCTATAAATTTCGATTTATCAATTGGAGTATTCCTCATTGTTACTTTATAAACAATATGTTCTCCAATTACATGAAAATACTCAACATTTTCAATAGTATATTTCGTATTAGGTAGACCCACTGCTGAGGGTTTCACATTTGGTATTAATTTTTCCAAATCCACAACTGTCATTGGATTATCAATAATAATTTCATATAAAACATCAACATGCGTTATATCACGGTTTATTGTATTCAAATATTCCAATGAAGTTGATAATTCTTTTTCGAAACTATGTAAATTTGCATATTCCTGAATTGCTCCTGGTTTTAATGTTTCAAACATTTCTAAAGGTACTTGATTCATTTTATAAAAAGTTTTAGAACCCTGATATATAGGAAAATCAACATATCGCATCGCAACTTTATTAAATGCATTTTGAATAAGCCAACCCTCGGGACGTTGTAGTAAAGATCTTTCAGGTCCAAACATTATATAATGTCCTATTGAACAATAATCGTCAAAATTGACAATACTATCTAATTTCTGATTTTTATAAATCTCATACATTACATATGGATCCATTAAGGTGTTTTCGATTCTATATTTATTTTTAAATAAATCCCTAACACGATTCACGGCACCTTGTTCTGTTAATGGAACATTCTGAACGAGACCATCATAACGTAACAACTGATAATCTTTTAAATTTGTTATTTCATAATCATTAATCCATTCCGGTAGAATTTTATACTCATCCAAATAACGAAGAAGATTATTCCTAACATTAACATCATCTAAAATATAATGTGACGTCACGTGAGATAGAAAGCTTTCGTCAATAAAATGATGCCAATCATCAAATATTTCTACTTGCATATTTTGCCAAGCTATTTTCATTTTTAATCTATTGCTAATTAAACCTCTTCCACTAAGTCCCTCTGTTTCAATTGTTTTTATTCTTGCTGTAAATGGTTTTTTCTCCACAACTAAAATATCCTTTGCATTTAATTCCCACGTTGTGTCTGTTAGCTCACCACTTTCAACATCCAATATACGATAAATTTTTTTACTATCATCAGGATCACTCATTAAAATCACAGGTACTTCATTCTTATAACCTTGAACACGTCTTAATTCAACTGTATCTGATCGTAGTCGATAATATTTTACACCATAACCACCACTACCAGTGAAACTATTAACAAATAGTTTGTTTCTAAAAAAATTACCCACACTTCTCATTGATGGTAGTACCACATTATTTAACGATCTAATGACACCTTTCAAAGCAACAATTTTTCTTCCAATCACCTTAAAACATTTAATAATTGATTTTATACCAGCTCTACCAACAGCGTACGCAAATTCAATACCCGGATCCACTGTACGAAGAATCGCTACTCCAATGTCACGGAATAATTCTCTATTTATTAATCCAGAAAATGCACTACTTGTTTGTACGGCAAAATTTCTTAATGTTGTACCAATAAAAGAACCAATTGAAAATGATCTTAAACTATTTCGAAAATTAACCAATAGTGGTCTTAGTGCTGCATTAAAAAATTTTAATCCCGATTGTGTCATTACACCAACAACTGGAATTAATACCACTGAATCAACAATACATGCACAAGCAGCAATAATCGGTGTTTCTGTTTTAATTGCCTTAGCACATGTATAAAATGGTATAAAATTTTTTAACAATCCCAAAATCCATTCACCCAATGTTGGATCATGATTTGTTGTTTTCAAATGATTATAAAATTCATCCCTTCTCTTTTTTACCAAATTATTCAACAATTGATCTATCGTTTCATTAGGATATTTATATGCTCTTGTATTTGCTTCAACAACTAATTGTATATGTGAATTTAATCCAATTGTCTCCATAAATTGATCATGATTATTTTCCTCACTGTGTATGGTGACATTACCATCTTGTTGAATTAAAGCATAAATCTTTCGTTCTCCACTATAAATACTTGTTTCAAATAAAATTGTATCTTTTCTCAATTGTGGTACCAATGCCTGACATCTAAAACCACATGATTTTGAATTTTTTATCTCAACAGGTTTAACAGTAACATTTTTTTGATTTACATAGGCTAATAAATCATTGCTAAATGCTTCTTCGACATATTTTTTTTCCACATAAGAATAAAGATTAGCTACAAAATGATTTTGATCATCAAATAATTCATTAATATTGGGTAATTTAAAACCATCTGCTTTACAATGATATTGATCATTATCATATTTATAATTCTTAACTTCTTCCTCGTAATTTGTTTCATTAGTATGAGGACACATACTTTTAATAATGTACTCTGCATATTCTGAACGATTTCTATAACCAAATAGCGCTTTCTCGAAATTATAAACTGGATTATTTTTTTGTATACTGGAAATATTTTGATGCTCCTTATATAAATCTGCAAACAGATCATAAAAGGCAAGATTCCAAAAATATTTATCATATACAATAATATTGTAACTTATATTTTTAAACATTTCTGGATTATTATGTGTATAGAGTAACAGTGCGGGAAGTTGAAAAATTTGCAATGCTGTTTTATTTAAATGACCAAGACGAACTCCCTGTTCGATACTCTGTGAAATTGTGATAAATTCTTCAAAAGTTGTATTAGCGGAATAAATATGACTAGTTCTAGTAAACATTAAACCAGCTTGTGCATAAATATAATCAACATCAATTATTTTTAAATCACTATCTTTGGGAACATTTGGAAATAGGGGGAAAATAATTTTTTCCGTTACATGTTTAACTGTCGATTCACTTAGTGTTGAATTTGTATAATCAGAATTTAAATATATTTGTTTACCTAAATCGGTAAAAATTTTTTTCTTAAAAAATGATAATATTAAATTATTTGTTGAATTCACTATTGCTGATAAATAACCAAATGTATTGCCAAATTTAGAAAATACAATTGATGTAACAATATTATTTAATTCTGCATCAACATATTTAATTTCAAGTGTTTCATTTTCCTTTCCACCATAAAAATGTGTGTTTTTTAATAATTTTTTAACAATATCAATTGATGCATTTTCACTATAATTATTTTTATCCAAATATTCACAAAGTGTATTTACAATTGGTACTGGTTTATATGGATTGTCCTCGGACAATAATTTATCATCAAAGAAAATTGTACTTAAAATACTTATTGAATTGAATATTGATAAAAAATCAACATTTCTCAATGGTGTGATAAAAAAGTCTGAACTATTCATGTTTTTATGTTATTTTTTTTTTGGAAAATAATATTTGTTTTTAATAGATTTTTCTAATTATCATCATTTTAATCCAAGTTCTGAAAAAAAAAATTTTTTGGTCACAAAAGGTACGTGTAAGTTAATTTTAATTTGCTGTAAAATAAATTCAAACCAATAATTGCATTATTTATTATGATATATTAACCTAAAAACAATATATATGGTTGGTTTTCATTGTCCCTATTCGCCATTTAGGCCTGAGCAGAATAGAAACGTAACCGGAATCGTAATCGTAAACGCAACCGGAATAATAAGTTAGAGAAGGATAGATAGATTGTTTGTCCTTCTCTAACTTATTCTTCCGGTTGCGTTTACGATTACGATTACGATTCCGGTGGATTCCGGTTATGTCCCTACTGTTAATTCACATATGAGATCCTTTGTAAGATCGCTTATGGTTTCTTATATAAGATCTCATCAGTGTCCATATAGGATTCCATATAGGATCCCTTATGGGATCGAAATTTGAAAAATAAGATTTGTGAATATCTCAAAAACGGTAAGAGATACGTAAAATTGGACAAAATTTTGAGTTCATTTTATTGGGAACCGTAGAGCTGCGATACGCCATCTGGTGTCGACCCACTTGCGGTAGCCATTTTTTATTTTGTCTCTGTCTAACATATGTATAAAGAAAGAGACAAAACAGCAAGATGGTTGCCGCAAGTGGGTTCAGGGTTGAGTAGTTACACAAGATTTCGGATCCCAATATAAAGCAAAAATATTTTGTGTTTAAAACCTAAAATATGTCTCATATTTTTTTTTTTAAATAACTACAACATATTCCCATGTGGAATCCTATGTGAGATCTCATATAGAATTCTATATGGACACATAAGATTTGTCTCATGAGTCATGAGTTTCCATATAGGATTCTCGTAAGATCTCATGTAGTATCTCATATGAGAAACCATAAGTGATTTTATACGGGATTTCATACGAGAATTTACAATAGGGGTTTCTCTTCTGCTCAGGCCTTAAGTCATAATTCTCGTCAACTACCGCACCCTGCTCTAGTAAAAATTTAGTGATTTTATAGTAACTTTTAATTTTAACAATAAAGTCACTAAATTTTTACTAGAGCAGGGTGCGGTAGTTAACGAGAATTATGACAAATGGCGAGTGGGGACAATGGAAACCAACCATAAACTCCAAATTGCGGATTCAATAAGGGAAACGAATTTTCAATAAGAAATCATCGGAGTTGCTTGAAACTAGTTATTCGGTTATTATTATTATTATTATTATTATTATTATTAGTATTTTTTTTTTTTTTTTTTGAGAATCTAATATCTGATTTTGGAAATTCAAAATGTCGGATTTCAAATAACGGAAGAATTTTTAAAAATTCGATTTTAAATGTAATTATTAAAAATAATTCAGTTTACTCACCTACGATTAAAAAGAAATTGCTTAATTTAGTGAAACAATATAAAATAGAATATAAGAGCTTGTAAGTCTTTTAATTCGATTACAAAATGCGTTATAATAATTATTCTTTCACGTGTATATAACTGATTTCAAATTATTAAAATTTCATGAAAAATAATATATATTTATATAAGCCTTCCTTGAAATTATATTCTACTTTGTAGATCAAATAAAAATTACCACATATATGTGTAAAAGATGTCTTTATCAATGTTTTAATTATTATAGAAATAGAAACTTAATATTTTAACAGCTGTTCGTTACATATCAGAAAAAAATTTATTTGAAATAAAAAATTAATTAATTAATTACCAAATTAATTGTAATGAATAATAAAGTGAAACTTTTTTTTGACAAATAATTTAATAATAAATATAAATAAAACATTTTTTAGAAATAATATTAATTAATAAATAATTAAAAATTATTTATATTTACAACAAAAATTTCTAATTATTGAATAAAAATTATATGTAATAAATATATAAATATAAATTTTTGCTGAAAACAAAAATATAATGTATATAACAGTTAAATAAAACTATAAAATAACATAATTCTTTGAATTTAAATAAAACTTTCATTTTGTGTAAATATATAAAAATTTTATAATAAAATTTTTATTTATTGTGTAACATTATATATATATTTATATATTTATTTCACTTGTTTACAACCATGTGGCATTTACAAGTGGAGATACTCGCAGTACATCATAAACTTATAAACAATTGCGAACTATTGAGTTAGTTTAGTTATGTGTCGAGTGCTTATAACGCATACGAAGAAGTTTTTCAATAAAATAAACGAAAGATTTGACAGTCTTATTTTCCGTTGACGATAGAATCGCAAGCCAACCCACCTCTAAGTTAAAATCAAGAAAGACCTCGGGAAAAGCAGCTTTACACAAATGTGCACATGAAGGACAATTAACTAAAATGTGGAAGAAAGTGTCTTCCTCTCCACGGCAAGAAGTGCAGCTCTCATTTAAGCTAAACTTGTACACAAATTTACCGAAATTTACTCTATGGACATGTTTGTTTAATAAACGCAACTGAGCAAAAATTCTTTTGACCTTCAAAGGGGATTGAGAAATTAAATAATGCTGAGTGTCAAAGTTAATAGAAAGTTGAGGGTATAACAAAAGACTCTTCGACTCAAAGCGATGCTTAATATCGAGTGTCTTATAATAATTGTCATATTCCTGTAAGATAGAGTCTTTTATGAGTTCCACAGAATCCAGAGTGAGGTCGGACCATCTATCGACCAAATCAGGCACCCCAAAAGATGCACCTAGCTGCACAAACCAATTTGATTTGCATTCCGGATTCCTGAGTGCCAGCAATCTCAATTTCTTAAAACACTGTCTGGGTAGCCTAGAACAATTCATTTTAGAAATTTTACAAATCCAGTTCAGTATTAGAGATAAGACTTTGCAAGACAAACGGGAAGAGCCAGTTTCCAGCCTTACAGCATAATCTGGAGTGTTGTTGGGCAAAGAAAGAAGTCTCTTAAAAAAGGAAAGTTGAACCTTATCTATTTTATCAAGATGGCCCAGACCCCAAGTCTGGACACCGTACATTAATATACTAACAGCAAGGCTTTGAAAAAGTTTACTATAAGTATCCCAAGATTCAGCACCAACAGAAAAAATTATTTTCATAATATTACCAATTGCCATATTTGCCGCACTAACTGCTCTATCCACAGCAGGGGAGAAAGAGCCAGAAGCCGAGAAGGGGACCCCCAAGTACACATATTGTTTCTCCACCTGTATACGCTCTTTGGGCCCAAACTTAAAAGATTTAAATCTGTTTGCAGCTGCGTTTCCCGATTTAGTAAAAATTACCATCTTTGTTTTTTTTATGTTAACAGTGAGATCGTTTTCTTTACAATACTGATACAGAGACTCCAACTTATTAATAGCTTGGATCAAAGAATCGGACAAATAAACATAGTCGTCGGCGTAGCCCAAAACTAATATCTCATTCGAGTTATCAATAGAAAGTCCTCTGCAGTTACAATTTAAAAGATATTTTTCCAAGTCGCTTATAAATAAAATAAATAAATAGGGACTTAAAATCTCGCCCTGCAACACTCCCCTTGAAACTCTGACGTAATCAGTACATCCCTCCCTGGTTCTAATACAAGCAGACGCGATAGAATAAAAACTTTGAATAACTCTAATAATCCTCGAACTCAAACCCAGACGATGCAATTTATTCCAAAGGAGTTGATGTGACACTGAAGGGAAAGCCCCCTTGAAATCGACGAAAGTGGCAAAAACTACAGATTTCGGTTTACTTAAATGAATTTGAATAATTGCGTTCAATACAAAAAGGTTGTCAAGACAACTTCTGCCCTTCCTGAAACCTGATTGAGATTCAGGGATAAGAGACAGTTCCGACGCCCACGATACAAGTCGATCACAAATAATTTGCGTAAAAATCTTAACAACAGTATTTACCAGTGTGATCGGCCTGTAATCATTAGGGTCCAAAACATTCCCCTTCTTAAACAACATGGATGTAGACAATTTACCCCAATCTTTAGGAACCGATTCCTCAGTTAAAATTCTGTTAAATAAATGCTCCATGAAGAGCAACCAATTTTGAGGCAAATTCTTATAAAACTCATACCCAATTCCGTCGACACCAGGGGCCTTTCCGTTCTTACATTTTATTAAGCTCGAGAAAATTTCATCAGTAGTAATACCCTCATCCAAAATAGGGTGAGAAATATTCAGAAAAGACGTATCTGCAGAGGAATTAATGTTCGAAGGGTAATTAGAACTAAGATAACAAAACCAAGTAGGGAGATCGATACTAGAAACTTGAGAGGTACTTTTCTTCACAGAGTTAACAATAGACCAAAATTGTTGTGATTGTTTACAATTTACAAGTTTATCAATTAAGGTTTTACGATATTTCCTCTCTTTTTCACGCAATAGTTTTCTTAACTCGCGTTTTCTTTCAAGAAAAATTAATTTGGAGTCAATCGAAAAATTTTGAAGTTTAGCTTGTTTTAACGCTATAAAAACACATTTTTTTGCATCTTTGCACTCAGAGTCTAGCCAAGGTTTTTGTCTTGCTTTTTTAGAAAAACAAGATTTTTTTATCATGCCCAATTCTCTCGCTACATTCGTAATACTAGATGTCAAAACAAGATTCAGAGTATCTATACTGCAATTCAAGTTTCCAACCTCCCCCCTCCAGGCCATCGCAGAAGTAAAATTTTCGGCTTTATATACATCAAAAAAAAGTTTTCCAAAATTATCTTCTGATAGCAAAGCCTTTGACTGAAAAATTCTGAAATATATAGCAACTGGCAGGTGGTCTGAGAGGGTGGGAACCTGTAAGACCCGAAGGTCATCGAACAAAGACAGACAGTCTAAGGAGCACCATACCAAATCTACAATACTACAACCCTGTGCTCCCACAAATGTAAAATTTGCCGGTGAATCATTCGGTGAGCGTCCATTCAACAATACACAATTATGCGACTCCATCAAATCTACAAAACATCTTCCCTTAAAAGTAGATATTACATCATTTGAAAGTCTCTCGTAGTTAAAAATAGAAAATTGATTTAAAATGTCGGGGTTTAATTGATTTAATAGACCAACCCTACAATTAAAGTCACCCCCCAAAACAAATGGCATATCCGGATATTTTTCAGTGATAAGGCTCAAGGTCAAATTAAGACCATCAAAAAAATCCTTAAAATCATTGTCCGGTGGAAAATAAATTAAACCCAAAATAAAAACTTCATTATTTGACTGAATTCTAACAAAAATGTGATTTAAATCTATAGATAATTTTTTCACCTTATAAAATTTAGAGTTCAAAGCAATAAAAAGACCTCCCTTGGCTCTGCCGTGAACACTGCATCTAACAGCCGGAGATACTACTGTATCGAAGTCGGGAAGTAGATTAAATCTCAAATCCGTTTTAGTAGACCATGTTTCACATAAACAGAGAATATCCGCAGCCTGTAGAGTGTCGGCGACATCGGAAATATTGCCAATACCATGCGCGTTCCAAAAGATTAGTTTTGCTTGAATTGAAACGGGTGACGAAAGGGATGATTTCTCAAGGAAGGGCTCGCTTTCATCAGAAACTCGAAACTCTGATTGCTACTGCAGATCACTGGACCGCTTCTCCGAGACAGTAAGACAGATTTTCTTCGGGTTCGAAGTACCCTGAGAAAGTTCGGAAGGTGGGCTGAAATAATCATCGAGAGATTCGAGATTGAGTGGTCTCTTGTTCAAAGAAGACTTAGGAGTCTTAGGAGGACGACCTCTTTTTTTCTTGCTAGAGTCTTCCAAGGGTGTCCCAGAAGAAGGGAGTTTCTCGTTGACCGAATTTGAATGATTATTCAGCAGCTTGGCGGGAGACGGATTCAAAGAGGACACTAAACGGTCCAAGTTTTCCTTGGTCAGAACAGCACCATTAAGCCATATCTCACTCCCTTTTAGGGAAGCATCCAGACCCGACTCCCGAATTTGCTGTACGAGAGGCAACAATTTACGTCGTTTCTCTCTTTCCTCCATAGGTCGGTCGTTGGTAATTATAAAATTTAAGGCTCGAATTTCCTTGACCTTCGAAAAAACCTTTTTAACCCATCTCGCTGAAATAAATTTTATCAACACAGGACGGTTTCCAGGGGATTTTCCCAGGCGAAAAATATCGTCAATGGCGACCTCAGGAATCTCCAGTCCAACTCTTTTAAAAATATTCATAGTAGCAGAAAAAATATTCTTATTTATATCAATCGAATCTTCCAATTTAAAAAGAACCACATTTCTAGATCTAATGTTGTTCCCCAAGGCAGTAAGAATTTTTTCATTGCTTACTAGTCTTTTTTCAAAGTCATTTAATTTTGTTGAAAATGATTCGACAAGACCATTCGACGTTTGAATTTCGGAACGTAAATCAACATGGGATTGCGTAAGATTATTAATCGAAGTCATTAATTTATTCCATCTCTCTTCATCACTATTAGCCATTGTCAAGGACAGTAGATAAACACAACCAAAGAAACTGAAGGTAAATATCAAGACTGTAAGCCACTCAATAACGACACTGGATTCAGTTTAATAAAAACAAAGCACTTGTAAAATCGAGACATATAAATAAAAATATACACTAAGTTTTAAAATCCACAAAAAAATAAAACACAGAACTGCATTCCACAAAAGCATCAGCCTTTCAAGAATTCAAAAACGTGCACAAGAATAGGACCAAAGAAAAAACAAAGAATTTTCCATATGTTAATATAGTCCACCACAAAAAATAATGCACCTTAGCAACTTTAATTCCAGAATTCTTCAAAGCAATAATATTAAGGAAACCTTCAAACAATAAGTCTATAAGTACAAGCAAATTCACAAATGTAAACAGGAGCTCTCCCGAAAAACAACCACACTCGACGATAGCTCGTACGAGACTCAATAAAATTTTTATTTAAACGAACTAAAATTTTTTTTGATGTAAATAAATATTTATCTTTGATCATTTATTTATATTTAAAATTCTTTTATTCTATAATATCGAAATTATTGGTGGATATTATTTACTTTATCATTTTCAAATAGAAGTTATACTAATAAATTTCTATCTATACAGTGATAACAATATATTAGAATTTAAATAAAAAATTAAAACTTTTATAAGACATTTTTTTTGAAAATCTATGAAATTAAAAGTTTTACAAAAAATAATTTTTGATTTTACAGAGACATTTAATTTATTAATTTCAAAATGATTTTTCATTGGCATATATGCTTTTGAATTTTTTATAAAAAATTTTATATATTATATTAATTATAAAAAAAATTCTTTAAATAGAATTCAAAAAATATTATTTATTAAATTCCAATGAAAAATAATATTTAAAATTAATTAAGTAAATTAACATCAAAATCATCTATAACAGAGTTATAAGTACTAATACGTTCATTCAACATTTCTATATTTTGATTTAAAGTTGCTATCCATTTTGATTTACTAATTGGAGTATTTTTAATAGTTACTTTATAAACAATAGTATTTTCTATATATGCATAATAAATTACATCATCAATAACAAATTCAGTGTTAGGTAGTGCCACTGCTGATATTTTAATTTCAGATAATAATTTTTCAATATCCACAATAATATAGGGATTATCGACAATAATTTCATAAAAAATATTATAATTAACAGTCTCAATAGTGGGAATAATTGTTCTTCTAATATTATTCATAGTATGAGATAAATCAGAATCTAAATTCGTTAGAAAATTAAATTGTTTATATTCTCCTTTTTTTAATGTTTGAAAAACATCAGAACTAACTTGTTCAGATTTATAAAATATTCTTGGTGCATCATATGCGGGAAAATCAATAAATCTCATAGCCAATTTATTAAATGCATTTTGAATAAACCATCCTTCGGGTGATTCTAATAGAGCTCTTTCAGGACCATTTCGTATGTAACTTCCGATTGCACAAAAATCATCATAATTCAAAATACTGTGAAGACGAAATTTTCGATACAATTCATACATTTCGTAGGGATTAATTTCAATAAATTCTGATCTATAGGTTTTTTTAAATAATTCCGAAACACGAGCAAATGCTTCTTCTTCAGTTAAAATAATATCCTCAACATAACTATTAAATCTTAGTACTTCATAATTTTTAACATTTGTTAATTTATAGTATTTAATCCACTCCGGTAATTCTTGGTGTGCTTCAAGATATTCGAAAATAGATGTTCGTAATGTTGGATCTTCAACAACGTAATTGTTCAAAACATTTGTGATTTGATTTTCATCTAAACGATTATTCCATTCGCTTAGAATTTCTCCTCTTGTTTTTTGTAATTGAATTTTTATTCTTATTCTAGGATTAATTAGACGTCCTCTACCGCTGAGTCCTTCGACTTGGATTGTTTTTACACGAACTGCAAATGGTTTGATTTCCATCTGTAAAATACCGTCTGCACCCATTTCCCATCTTGTTGCTCTTAATGTTTCACTATCAACATCAATTAATTGGTAAATTTTTTTCTCATCAGATTTACTAACTAAAACAACTGGTACTTCATTCTTATAACCAGAAACACGTCTTAATTCCACTGTCTTATCATTGAGTTTAAAATATTTCACACCATAACCATCTTTACCTGTAAAGGTATTAACATAAACATTACGATTCAAAAAATCACCAACTCGTGTAACTGATGGTTCTATTACTTTTTTTAAAGATTTAATCACATTACTCAATGATAATTTTTGTCCAATTAGATTGAAAAATTTACTTATTGATGTTAATCCCGCTTTTCCTAAAGTGTACGATAATTCAATTCCTGGATCTAAAGTACGTAGAATCGATACTCCAATGTCTCGGAATAATTCTTTTGTAACTAATTTAGAAAATGCTTTTGCAGTTTCTCCAACAATATTTCTTAATGTTACACCAACAAATTGACCAATTGTAAATGCTTTCAAACCAGAAGAAAAATTAGCCAACAGTGGTCTTAATGCTGCATTGAAAAATTTTAATCCCGTACTAGCCACTTGACCAAAAAATGGAATTAATACCAATGAATCAATAATACAGGCGCAAGCTGCAATCACAGCTGTTTCTTTTTTTGTTGCCTCAGAACACGTGTAAAATGGAATTAAATATTTCAAAAATCCCACAATTGATTCTTTTGTCGTTGATTCATAACCCAAATTATGTAAATGATTATAAAATTCCAATCTTCTCGGTTCAACTAAATTTGTCAGCAGCTTGTCAAAATTTTCATAATGATATTTAAGCGGTTCTTTAGACGATGAAACAGTGAATTTTGTCTTTTTATGTAAACCTATTTTCTCCATAAATAAATCCTGATTGCTTTCAGCGTTATGTAAACTCCTTGTATCATCCGTATGTATCAGAGCATAAAGATATGGATCTGAACCATTAACTGAAATTTGAAATAGAGTAGTGTCACTTCTCAATTGTGGTGTCAGTGCACGACATCTGAAATCACATTTTCCTTTTCTTTTAATTTCAAGTGGATGTATAATCACATTTTTCTGTTGGATAAATTTTATTAATTCATCGCTAAATATTTCTTCGAGATATTTTTTCTCCACGTAAGAATAAAGATTGGCAATAAATTGATTTTGATCTGCAAATAATTTATTAATGTCTGGCATATGAAAACCATCTGTCTTGCAATAGTAATCATCATTATTGTATTTGTATTTTTCAACTTCTGTTTCGTATTCCGATTCATCAGCCAATGGACACATACGTCTAATAATGTACTCTGCATATTCTGTACGATTTCTATAACCAAATAGTGCTTTCTCAAAATTATAAACTGGATTTCTTTTTTGTATATCGCTAATATTTTGTTTCACTGCATCTAAATTGGAGAAAAGATAATTGTAAACTTTATTCCAAAATTCGTTGTCACTCAAAAGAATATCAATTCTTCCTAAATCTCTATTTTTGTCTGTATAGTACAAAAGTGCAGGAAGTTGAAAAATCTTCAATGCAGTTTGATTTAATTGATTCAGAAATACTCCATGTTGAATGCTTTGTGAAATTGTTATATATTCATAAAATGAAATATTTTCCTTTACTTGTGCACTTCGAACAAACATTAAACCAGCTTGAGCATAAATATAATCAACATCAACTATTTTCAATTCACTTTTTTCTTCTCCCACATCAGGAAATAGGGGAAAAATCAATTTCTCCATTATTCGCGTCACTGACAATTGGCTGAGTTTGGAGAATGTGTAATCTTGATTTAAATAATTTTGTTCGACAAGATCGATGTTTATTTTTCTTTTTATAAACGATAATGTTAAATTATTTGTTGAATTCACTATTGCTGCTAAATAACCAAATGTATTGCCAAATTTTGAAAATACAACAGTTGCAATAATATTGTCAAACATTGCATCCGCGTATTCATATTCAATAGTTTCATTTTCTCTAGATCCATAAAATTCAGTATTATTTAATAATTTCTTACCAAGAGTAATAGTTGACATTTCATTATTATTATTTTTATTTAAATATTCACAGAGACTATTTACAACAGGAATTGGTTTATATTTATCATTTTCTGTCATTAATTTTTCTTGATAGAAAATATTAGTTAAAATACTTATTGATCTAAAAATTGAAATAAAATGATCTGTCTGAAAAGGGCTAATGAAGAAATCTGAATTATTCATTTTGCATTAAGTGATTTCAAAATTTTATCCTTTTTTAGTATTTATAATATGTCGAAAAAATATATTCACAGAATTAATATTTTTTTCATTATCTTTCCCCTTTCATCATGCAACAGATTTTTAGTGATGTATATGTCGAGCAGATATAAGCAGATTACAGTAACTAAAAAAAATTATTATTATTATTTATTTTCAATTGTATTTTTATTTTAATAATGAATATTAAGATCTTACCTTTATGATTGTTTATACAAATTTTGTTCTTTTGTGGGATAAAATAATTTTATAAAATTACATTGAAATTTCAACTAAATGAATTATAAAATATCATTTTTAATTTTTTTTCTTTGAAATATTGGCAATTATATATATGTATATATTGGGGCATTTCGATATATAAAATGCTGAAATTGTCATTTATTAAATTAAATATAAATATGATACAACTGAATAAATAATGCATTAATTTGCTTAATGATTGAAAAGTTAAATAGTAAAATAAAAGATTATTGACCTAGAGGCAAACAATATTTCAGAATTTTATATCAAAATCCTTTTAAAAAAAATAATATAAATTAATTTTTAAATCATAAAAATTGTCATTGATTTAATTTTAAGCATATGTTAAATTAACAATTCCAAAATTTTATGTCCGCATTGTAGATCGGGGGATAATGATCCTATCAAAAAACATTGTTATATGATCTAAAAGATTTTTTTTTGATTTATAAATAATTTCTTTACTTTTTTTTGTTGACTCAAAGAAACATTTTTTTGATTTTACAAAATTTTTTATTTGATGAATCAAAGAAATAAATTTTTATTTTATTGCTCAAATTTCTTTAAATGAAAAATATATTTAGTTCATTTTGGGAATTTATATATGTTCGTATTTTGATTAAAATATATTAAAAATACATATATATTAAAATTTATTAAAATATATTAAAATTGAAAATATATTTGAAACACTTTAAAATTTATTTTAAAGACATTTAATTAATTTAATACGAACTTCGACAAGTGAGGTTACATATGTAATTCAAAACACTGGAAAATATTTTTTTCGAAAAAGCAAAGAAAACTTTTTTTAATTCAAACAAATTTCATCTTTGTTTCAAAAGGTGATTTTAAAAAAATGATTTCTTTATTTCAAAGAAATCTGAACTTAAAAAATACTATAAGAAATCCCTGTTTTGCGCCAGAGTATTAATAATTTATTAAAAAATATATTTTTAAAAAATTGCATATTTAAGGAAAATTCAATATGGCGATAATACGATTTTAGTCCTGGCGGATTGTATGATGCGAATGCTCCACAAAGTTCGCAGAGCATTCGTAGAACACGAGATTGAGATTGAAATTCTGTCTAAAATGTATAAAAAAAATGATGAAATTGATAGTATAATTATTAAAATCAATAAGTTTTATGCATTTTAAGATGATTATTGTTCAATAATTATAAAAATTTAATGTTTTTATTAATTTTAATCAATTACAGTTTATTATCAACATTTGTCGATAATCGCATACAGCCACGCTTTTTAGCAGGTAGGTGGCAGCACTTTTTTTTTCTTTCTTTAAATTTTTTCTGTATTTTTTTTAGTTAAAGCAAAACTCTTATTTGTTAAACGGAAATATTGGTAAAAAAATATATTATTTTATCAAAAAAATTAATATTTTAATAAAAAAAATGTTGGTGAAAAAAATTGAATTTAAACGGAAATATTGGTGACAAAAATTTATTATTTAATCAAAAATATTGATGAAAATTTTTTTTTTATGGAAAATTTGGTGACAAAAATTTATTTTTTTATCAAAAAAAAGTTGAAGAAAATTAATTTTAAACGGAAATAATTTGTGAAAAAATGTATTACCTATTTTATCAAAAAAAATTAATTTTTTTGATAAAGCATTTATTTTTTTCGTGAATATTTCCTTTAAAAATGCACTATTATATTAAATAAATAAATAAAAATTAATCTTTCTTTAGCCATATTTTTGAAAAAATAATTTGTTTTTTTAACGATATTTTTGATAAAAAAATTAATTTCTCACCAATATGTTTGTTTAAATATTGAATTTTTTTTACCAATATTTACGTTTAAAATAAATTTTTTTCAACAATATTGTTAATAAAAAAATTTTTTTTTTGCAACATTAACCTCTAAAGTTAAATTTTACTTAGATTTTACTTAGAGTGCTGCCACTAACCTGCTAAAAAGCGTGGCTGTATTGGGAACGGTGGTCTAGTAACAATCTAGTAACTTTGACCCATTCTCTCCCTCCATTTTGTTTTTTCTACTCTTTCTAACCTATTAATTGAAGAGAGACAAAGAAAGAAAATGGAGGGAGAGAATGGGTCCCCACCAGATGGCGTATTGTAGTTTAGCCGATCCCAATTGATTATCGACAAATGTTGATAATAAACTGTAATAGATTGATATTAATAAAAACATTAAATTGTAATAATTATTGAACAATAATTATCTTAAAATGCATAAAACTTATTGATTTTAATAATTATACTATCAATTTCATCATTTTTTTTTAATACATTTTAGACAGAATTTCAATCTCAATCTCGTGTTCCACGAATGCTCTGCGAACTTCGTGGAGCATTGGCATCATACAATCCGACAGGGAATTTTCACGAATAAGTCATTTTTTAAGAATAAATTTTTTTGATAAAATATATTAATTTAATTTTTGGCACATGACAACGAATTCTTATACTATTTTTGAATTCTTCAAAAAAAAATTTAGCTCAATTTATGATTTTGCGAAAAATAATTTGTGGAGAATATTTATAATATGTGAAAATAATCACATGACCTTAATTTTAAGTTGTCCTCCTGTATTCGGCCATATTGAATCCCCCACCCATCGAACTTAAACAGACTTGAAGTACTCTATTCTATTCTTATATTTCATGCTCTAAACTCCCCTTAAATTTTCATAACTTTGTCAAGGAAGAGTTCGAAAATTGCAAATGGTGGCGTTGTAAACACATGATTGCACGCGAATGCGGCTCATTGTATCACTTATCTGTCAAAAGTAGTGAGAGTTGGTTGCATTACCAAAGTAATGCTCTTTAAAATCTCTTGAAAATTTCAACAAAAAAAAAATTATTTTTTTTTCTAATTCCACGTGATAATTATTTTTCCAATAAACTTTTGAAAAATTGAAATGTGTTTTTTTTCTCTTTTGTTAAAAAAAGTTCTTTACCTAACCCTTATTATGTGAGAGTTATATATATATACATATACATATATGTGTGTTTTGTAAAATTGACTTGAGGGGAAAAAAAAATATGTGGCGTGATCGAGGATTTTTTTGTTACCTCATTGTTGTCTCTTTTCTACTTTCACCATGCACTTCAGGTATAAAATAAAACAACAAAAAATAATATATATGCATGATTCATTTTTTTTTAAATTTATTTTCTATTGTCTATTATAATTTTGCTTTATTCATTTGTCTGAGAGAGTTAAATTGATAAAAATTAAGTGCGTCAAGAGTGAAATTAACATGTAGAATAAAAATAGGGTCACAGTAACTGCTCACAATTGTTTACTTCCGTTTGAATATCATTGAATAATATATATATATGTAAAGCAGACATAATTCGTTATGAAAAAAAGACAACTTAAAAATTTTTTTTTAATTAAGTTTTTATAGAATTGTAATTGAATTGTTTTTTTTTAATTCGGTGCTGTGTCTATGAATATAACCTATTATTAAATGTTTGTTTTAAAGTTTCTTCAGACCACGTGGTATAATAAAAATTTTCAAATTTTCAACAAGGACATGATTTCGTATTTTTTAACGTTTAAAAGTTTTTTCATTTGTTTAAAAAAAAGAATGATAACTAAAAGTGAATTTTAAATATAATTTTTAAAAATGTATAGTATTTTTTTTTATACTTTTGAAGATGAATTATTTATGTGAATGTGAATTATATTAAGTATATTTTGGTAAGTATTTTTTTAAAATTACATTTATTTAAATTTTCAAAAGAAGAGTAATTTTATAGGTATATTTCCAAAAATTCGAAAAAAAAATTGCTAATTGAAAAGTAACTATTTTTTTAGGGTTAAAATTGCAAAAACATGTTGAAACGAAAAAATATGTAAAATACTTATGAATTATAGCAGAAGATAATCCAAATATTGTAAGAGCCCTAGAAACATAATAATTGTTAATTTCATAACAAAATGATAAATAAAATTTTTTTTTAAATACAAATTTTTATTTCTTTACTCTCTTCTTGCCAATTGAAAATTTGTTTTTTTTTAAACAAATGAATTTATTTATAAATTAAGAAATTCATTCTTTTAAGGAGGCATTGACAAGTTAATTTTACAATTTTTTTAAAAAATAAATTTATTCATAAATTAAGAAATTCATTCTTTTAAGGAGGCATTGAAGAATCAATTTTTTACAAATTTTTTTTTAATAAATAAATTTATTCATAAATTAAGAAATTCATTCGTTTAAGAAGGCATTGAGGAGTCAATTTTACAATTTTTTTTTTAATAAATAAATTTATTCATAAATTAAGAAATTCATTCGTTTAAGGAGGCAGTGAGGTTTAAATTTTACAAATTTTTTATTAATAAATAAATTTATTCATAAATTAAGAAATTCATTCTTTTAAGGAGGCATTGACAAGTCAATTTTACAAATTTTTCCTTAAAAATTAAAATTTAACAATTTTTTTTTCTCTCTTTTTGCCATTTAAAATTTAATTTTTTTGTAAACAAATTATTTATTAAATTTTTAAAAGAAATTCAAAAATACATTTTTTTTTTAAACAAATGATTTTATTTATAAATTAATAAAGAAAAAATATCTTTCTAGCTATATATATGGAAAATAAATTTTTATCGGTTAATTTAATTGTAAAATTATTGTGAAATGAAAAGGAGAGAAAGATAATATAAAGTTGAGGAAGTAGCAGTTTATTCAGATAATGAACTTTGATCGGTTTGAAAATAGATTATATTTAGTCATCGGTTTCAAGGTTTTAGAGAAATAAATTGAATGCATTATCAGTTAAATGACGTTACTTTAATTCATTTATTAACGTCAATGCACTGTTAATGCTGCTTTGTTAATAATAATAATACATTGTACTTTTGCAGTTTCGAAATATCGTGTTTTCGATTCAAAAGAATGAGTCGAGCGTAAAATTTTATCTTTTCGAACAAAATAATAATTTTTTTTTTGTGTTAAAAAAAGAAATTTATAGTGCGGATAACCTTTTTTTCAAAGACGTAGTAATATTTTAATTTGAATATTTTTTTTCAATCTTAATTTTGTAAAATTAATTTAGATTAATTAAATAAATTAATTAATAAATTAATTTTGCAAATTTGGATCGCCAATGAGATATTTAAAAAAAAAAATTTGTGGCACAAGGCATCAATAAAATAAAGTATTTTTTGTTTATTATAAATTCTTGATAAAACGATTAGCAATGAAAAAGTATTTTTTTAAAAAATAAATTGTGAAATAAGAAAAAAAAATATATATATAGTTAGCCTTGACAATGAAATTGATAAGATTTGATGTTCCTTTGATGTGCTTATGTATATAATCTCTTGTGTATCTTTGTCTGGACGGAAGTACAAACTGGAGAATTTAATTGAGATAAAATTGCCACACGTTCTCGTCAAACAAGCTTTCTCATATTACCCACATGCAGTCAAAACTGCATCTTGTTTTGCTAATAATGAAAAAAAAACTATCATTTACTATTTAATTACAGGAAATAAGAAACTTACCTGGAAGAAAAACATTTAAAAAAAAAAACATAATCACATTGCAATATTAAGGAATTAAATTTTTTTCCATCCATCAATTACATCTAAAAAAAAATCATTTTTCTTTTTTATTTTAAATAATGGTATGAAAAAATTGTTTATCAGTTTAGTAATAAAGTTCTTGTAATTGAAAAATTGATTTGAATTTGAAAAAATGTTTGAAAAAAATTTTTAATTTAAAAAAAAATGTAATTACCATTTTAATCTACCGACATTGCTCAGCGTTGAGATAAAACAAAATATTCTTCATTGAATTTTATGAAAATTCAATTTTTTTTTTCTTATCTGATTTTAGTGTCGCTTCAAAAGACATTTTCTAAAGATTAACTGTTCTGAAATCAAATCAGATTTCTTAGAAAATTTATATATATATATGAAGGACTGTTTTGTGAAGTTAATCGCCAAACAACAACAGCTGCGAGAGTACGAAGGTTCTTTCTATAACTTTATTCAATACAGCGAGCTATACAGTGATGCATATTTAAAAGTAGAGAGGAAACTGTAAATGCGAAACATGTGATAATAAAGATAAAAATAAAATCAAAGCAATAAAAATTCATTTAAAAATTAAAAACAAGTAATTGTTTCTGATATCTCGGAAAATAAAAATTTTTATAATTTTTTCGGTTTAAATTACAATTATTCCATGAGTTAAAAAATATATTTTTTTCTATTCTATAATTAATTTTTAAAAAAAATTTTTAAATATGAATTATTTTGCTAAATTAATACGAACGCTCCGAAGGGTTAAAAAATGGTCATTAAATGTAAAATAATTCTCAAAAATATTAAAAATTTTATAATAAATATTCAATATACATAAAAAAAAAACTTTCACTCAACTTTTTTGAGCTTTTTATGTACACTCTCTTTTTATTTGCCTCAACCTCTTGCTCCGTTTTGATAAGAGATGTACTCGTCTCAATTTAAACGATTCATTCAATTGTAACTTGTATCACTGGAGCTCATTGAAGAAATAATAATTATAAAAAATTGTTCATATATTGAGATGTAATATTTAAATTAAAGAAAATTAATTTTTTTCTTTTTAATAAATATAAAATATTTAATAAATAATTAAATTATTTGTTATGAATATATATATATATTTTTTTTATTGGAAAATCGAGTAGTTACGCGATTTTTCACGAAAAAATCAATAGTAAAAAATTTTTAAATTTCAATAATCAATATTTAATTTCTAAGCATAAACAATTGTTGATTTTATAACATAATGATAAATAAATTTTTTTTTAAGCAAATAAATTTATTTATAAATTAAGAAATTCATTCTTTTAAGGAGGCATTGAGGAGTTAATTTTACAAATTTTTCCTTAAAAATTAAAATTCAACAATTTTTTTATCTTTTCTCTCTTTTTGCGAATTGAAAATTTATTTTTTTTTAAACAAATTATTTTTTTTTAAATTCTAAAAAAAAATTATTTGTTTAAGAGAGAATTGATAAAGAAAGACAGACACTTTTTACAAAAGCAGCTAGAGATCGTTATCTTATATAAATTTCCTAAATCCGAAAGATTATGCGAATCCATACAAAAACACGATTGCAAAACGAAAAGTAATATAATGACAGGTACATTACCTCCTGCCGCCGTCAGATGGCAGCAGCATGCAGGGCGCACAAAGTCGCAGCTGTTATTAGATTACTTTTCTACTTTTTGTTTTGCAACCATGTTTTTCTATGGATTCATACAGTCTTTTGGATATAGGAAATTTATAAGATGAGCATTTTGGCTGATTTTGTTAAAAGTGTTCGTGTTTCGAAAAAAAAGTATTTTAAAATCAATACTATTTCACGTTCAGAGCGATAATTAAAGCTCTCTTCTTGCCAAAGAATTTCAGATACCGTTCGACACTCTTAATGCATAAATATAAAAACGAAACAAGAAAATAACTTCATTGTTAATAAATTTATATGAACCCAAATCTAAAATATCTATTATCTATACGCATATAAGTATACATTAAATAAATTCTGGTTCCTCATAATATACTATTTTTAAATATTTAAAACTCAATTCGTTTTAAATTGGGCACGTAAGCTGATTTTAAAACCTATTGAGAAAAGTTTTTTATTCATCTTAGAACCATATAATCAATAAGGTCCCTTTTCACAGATGGTGATTTTTTTTACCATCTGTTATCCATTTTTTTTGGAAAAAATTGTACCCTTTTATTTTAAAGATATAAAAAAAATTTCGACCCTTTTTATCCATTATAGTTATAAAACAATAAATTGCGATTGACTCTTTTTCTTTCGCCATTTTCCAGAATGGAAGCCAAAGGAATGCAACGCACAAGAAATAATAACATCATGTGGAGAATTAGAGCGATGTGTAATGAGTTCAAATCCAAACGGCACATCTTGGTGTCAATGTTTACGAGGTTATGAATTACGAGATGGAAAGTGTGTTCAAGCGCCAACCACAGAGAAGGCCCCAACGACGACAGCGAGGCCTGAGAACAAATCGAGCTCTGGAGGTTCTTATTCAAAAAATTTTTTTCTTTATTTTTGAATGAAAATAGTCGAGATTTTTTTCAATTCACCTGATTGGCCAAAAATTTAAACAATTAAGTTTTAAAATTTTTTTTTATTTTTTCATCATAAAAGAATTAGGTCTCGGATTATACGACTTTTTCGACTATTTCCGACTTTTTTTCAAAAATACGACTTTTTTCGACTTATTTTAATAAAATGCGACTATTTCGACTTTTTTTTACGTTTAAAAAAAAATTTTTAAATTAATTATTTTTTTTAGTATAGAATTCAAATCTTCTTCATATCTTCATTATTTCAATTATTTAACAAATTTTTAACTAAAATTCTTCACTAAATTAATTATTTTTAATAATTTTAAATGAAATTCATCACAAATTCAATTATTTCAAAATTATTTTTCAATTAAAATTTTTATGAAATTTAAAAATTGTTTATAATTTTAAAAAAATATCAAATAAAATTACCAAAAATTTTAATCTCAAATTCATAAATCAATTCAAAATCAAATAAAATTCAATTATCAAAAATTTCAATTTAAAATCAACTAAAATTAAATTATTACCCAAAATTTCAATTCAAAATCAATTAAAATTAAATTATTACCCAAAATTTCAATTCAAAATCAAAGAAAATTCAATTATTTTCAAAATGTTCAATTTAAAATCTTTTAAAATTCAATAATTATCCAAAATTTCAATCCAAAATTTTCAATCAAAAATAAACTAAAATTGAATTATTATCCAAAATTTAAATTATAATTCAATTATTTTCAAAAATTTGAATTCAAATTCAATTAAAATTAAATTATTACCCAAAATTTCAATTCAAAATCAAAGAAAATTTAATTATTTTCAAAATTTTCAATTTAAAATCTTTTAAAATTCAATAATTATCCAAAATTTTTCGAAATTTAACAATTTCAATTATAACTCTAAGGAAATTAAATTATTTTTAACTATTTTTATAATATTCTTTGAAAATTCAACTATCTGAAACCATTTTTCAATGAAAAATGGTTTTCAAATTATTGTATTTTTGTCCGCAATTTCTAATAAATTTGTTAGTGAAATCATCAAAAAAAATTTAATTAAAAATCACTTGAAGTTCAATTAATTTTAAAAATCTCAATTGTAAATCTTTGAAAATTCAATTACCTTTAAAAAATGTTATCTCAAATTATTTTGATAAAATTGTAAAATTAATTTATTTACACGGGCAATACCGGAATAAAGCCCCGTCGTACAAAGTATGAATTATTTTTAGTTCTGTAAAATTTAATTATTGTCTGAAAATTAACAAAATCTTTTGAAATTCAATTATTTCTAAAAATTTCAACTTCAACCCTTCCAACAGTATTATTATTTTTAAAAAAAATTTTATTTAAAAATCTATAAAATATTTTTGTTAAAATAAAAAAATTCAACTTTTTCGACTTTTTTTGGAATATAAATCGACTAAAACGTCCAAGTGAGGCAGCGCCATCTACATTGAAATTAAAATTTTGAAAAATTTTAACAGCCTTTTCTTGAAAACAAGAAGGTAAAATGCTTTTTCCTTTATGGATAATTGATTATTGGCAAGATATACACCAGCTAAAACTTTTTTTGAGTTAAAATAATAAAAAAAATTTCATGTCAATAAATTAAATATGAGCAGTTTTTTCACAAAAACTGTAACAATACTTTCTCAGAAATTACAATGAAAAATGCAATTTCGATTTGGAAAATTAATAAACGCTAAAAAATACACGACCTAAGATTTACCAATCACGAAAATAACAAAAAAAAAGTATTTTAACATAACATATTTTACTCATTATGACAGCCGTTTGGCAGGTTATATATGTCACCAGAAGTTTCGCAGTTTTGCCGAAAGGAAGAGATTGGCGCTGTTGCTAACCACCTGAAATACATAATCTACCAAAGGGCTGTCACAATCAGTAAAGCAGTATCAATATGTTAAATATTTAATAAAATTTTTTTTTCTTATTTTCGTGATTGGTAAATCTTAGGTCGTGTATTTTTTAGCGTTTATTAATTTTCCAAATGGAAATTGCATTTTTGATTGTAATTTCTGAGAAAGTACTGTTACAGTTTTTGTGAAAAAAGTGCTCATATTTAATTTATTGACATGAAATTTTTTTTATTATTTTAACTCAATAAAAGTTTTAGTTGGTGTATAACTTGCCAATAATCAATTATCCATAAAGGAAAAAGCACTTTACCTTCTTGTTTTCAAGAAAAGGCTGTTGAAAATTTTCCAAAATTTTAGTTTCAATGTAGATGGCGCTGCCTCACTTGGACCTGGCCTTGGCCTGAAGAATTATTTAATAAAATAATTTAAATAATTATAAAAAAAGAAAATTTTTTAAATACGGTTATTTGAAAATTTAAATAAAAAATAATTCAAAAAAATTGCCATATGGATAGAAATTTTTGTCAGTTATTAAAAAAAGAATAAAAAAAAATTTTTGAAAAATTTGATCAAATTCATATTTTTTGAGAAATGAATTATTGAATGAATTATTAATAAAAATGAATTATTAATTATTATTTATTCATTTTTCCTTGTCACAGGAAGTTCAGTGGCCGCTGGCCTTTTAATTCTAACGTTCCTCGTGATCCTCGGAGCGTTCATTTACATGGGCGCAAGACGATACAAATGGCTTCAGCGATTTAGACAATATCGTCAAAATCGCTACGGCAATGTCCTAGTCACAAGAGATGACACCGACGACGATGATCCTCCTATTTCGTAAAGAGTAAAAAAAATAAAACAGAAAAAAAAATTCACATTTAGAAATGAATTACCTCGCAGATTCGGCTGCGATTATATCGAATAATATACAATATATTTATGCACGCCTGCCATCTGTGCCGACCAAAAAAAAATAATAATAATAGACGCGAAAACTAACGAGTTGTTAAGTTTTCAAAAACGTCTCCTTAGTTTTCGCTATCTTCGCTATCTATTTACAGAAAAAAAAATAAATCCTGAAAAAAATTTTCTATATATATAATGTTCTTACTAATTTCCATAAGACAATACTAGCAAAAAATTTTATTTCAATTGTACGCCGATTTAAGAAAAAAAAAACTGTTTTTCTTTTTAAATCAAGAAAAATTGACGCCGAGGGTGATGAGGCCAAAATAGAGCTTTATGTGAGTGACAATCTTTGAAAATTACTCACCTAAGTTCACGATATGTATATGTAGCGTGCGATAATTTTTTGTGCTATTGAGTGCAAATGACTGACTGAGTTGTGTGAAATATTTTTTTTTTTTTTTTGAACTCTTCACGGGTCAGTAATTTTTTTTTTTGCAAATATATAATATAATGATTTTAGGAAAGAATAAGACAAACAATTGGAACAAAAAGTTAATTCAATTTTTGTATTTCCAAAAAAAAATTTAAATTTTTGATGCATTTTTAGGGGAAAAGAAATTTTTTAAATATTTCAATTAAAAATTTCTATTTGAGAAAAAAAATTACAATTTTCTGTCCTGTAAGAAACGGTTTAACATAATCTAAAATTTGAACCTTTCCCGCCAAAAATGTATTTAAAATTTTTGTTTTTTTTTTATTTAAAAAATACAATTGAATTAATTTATGTTTTGATTGTACCTCAGATTTATTCTTAATGGCGCTTTCGTCAATTGTGATCACAACAACACTTGTTTCTCAATGGTGCCCGAATTTCGAGAGATTTTTGTTTTTAATTATTTTTAGATATAATAAGTGACAATCGATAATTTTGCAAAAAAAGGGAAAATTAATTAATTATTTATAATTGAGTTTTTAAGCACTTTTATTTTTGAATTGACTATGGGGCGCATTAACACATAAATATATTATTAATTAGACTTTTTATTTTAAACTATTTTATTAGAAATAATTATTTTTTAGACGAATTTTCTAATTCGCATTTAATAGTTCTTTTTATACCAATTTTTAACAGAATTTTTATTTTACAGTTATTTTATTTACACAATTTTTTATTTAAGAGAATTTTCATTCAATCGAATTTTATGTGATTCGAATTTTTAAATGACAAAAATTCCAATTTATCGACTTTTAATTTGTTCGAATTTTTTTTTTTACAAATTTTTAATTGTACAAATTTTTAATTAATCGAATTTTTAAGACGCTGAATTTTTATTTGTCTGAAATTACAAATGACCGAATAAACAATCGAAAAAAAGATTTCGGTGCAAGTTTTAAAATTGACCGAAACTATCAAGAAAATCGTGATTGGTCAATTTCAAAAAATTGCGCCGAAATCGATTGTTTATTCGGTCATTTGTAATTTCGGACAAATGAAAATTCGGCGTCTTAATAATTTGTACAATTAAAAATTTGTACAAATGAAAATTCAGACAAATTAAAATTCGGTGAATTAAAAATTCGATAGCTAAAAAATTTTCGTATGTAAAAATTCGTGTAAAAAGAAAATCTGTCAAATTTTAATTCGAAAATTGAAAATTCCGTCTAAAATATAATTATTTCTAAGAAAATTACTTTAAAATACAAATTCTAGTTAATGATTTTTATGGGAAAATCATTCGCCTCGATTTTATACATTCCTAAAATATATTAAAAGAAGGTTAAATTTTTTTTTCAACAAGAAATCGGACATAATTTAAAAATAAAAAAAGAATTACAACTGACATAAATATTGAAGGCAATATAGAAAAAAATGAGTTTTATTTAAAAAAAAAAAATCGTCCGCCATATTGGATCCGCCATTTTGAAGTTTTGAAAACATAAGAAAATAATCCTAAAAACATTTTTTTCTATATTTTCTATATTTAAATTCTAAAATTGACTTACAAAAAAAGTGTTTAAAACCGAAACAAAATTTATAGTAAATTTTCTTTTTTTTTTATTATAATTATTATTTTTTTATTTTAAGCATAATTGAAAATTGAAGCACTTAAAATTAGCAAAAATTATCGATCGTAAATTTTGTAAATTGAGTAATATTATCGGCAATGTTGCGAGAAAAATTATCGCCTATAAAAAAAATAATAAATCCAAGAAACGTGACTTATTAAAAAAGATTTTTTTTTTCCTTTTTTTTTTTTTTAGTTAATTGTCGATAATTTATTGTGAAACATTCGATAATGTTTCTCTATTTTTTCAACTCTCAACTATAGTGTTTGTTCATCTGTTAACTTAGAGTTTATTTTTACAAAAAAAAAAAAGTCGAATTATATTTTTCTTGAAATTTTTTTTTATTGAAGATTATTAAACGCGGGATTTTATTTTCCAAGTTATAATTACGTAAAAATTTTTAACGATTTTTAAACAAGATTTTTTTTTCTTTTAATCTGAAAACTTGGAAATTATTAAATTGTTAATTTTTGTTTAAAAAAAAGCTACTTTTATTGAAATTTCGATTGAAAAGTGATGAACAATCATAATTTGTTTCTCTAATTTGTGCTTCCAACAAGTGTAATGATATACATATTATAAATATTATATAGAAAAATATGTAATAATTTAATCTTGTACCAAATTAGTGATAAGTTTTTTCTACTATAGTTATATATATATTTGTGTCATTTTGTAACATAACGAAAAAATTGTAAATAATTCGATTAAGTCCGTCAAATATCGAATATATATATATTCTTGCCAGTTATATATTATTGTATTTTAACTTTGAAATATTTTGTACATTGAAGAAACTTTGTAGAGCGGAAGTGAGTCATTTTTTTTTATTATTATTACTTGTAATATGTGTAAATTCAGGAAGAAGTGACTTATTTTTCGGTCGACGAGAGCCATTTAGTAGTGATAGGATATCAAAAAATTGGGCGCATTATTATCCCATAAAAATTAGTTCGAATTTTTATTTGAAACAATTTTATGACATATAATTATTTTTTAGACGAATAGAATTTTAGAATTTCACACAATTTTCTCTTTAAACAAATTTTTATTTGTACAAATTTTTAAGACGCTGAATTTTCATTTGTCCGAAATTACAAATGACCGAATAAACAATGCGCAATTTTTAAAATTGACCAATCACGATTTTCTTGACAATTTTTGATTAGTCAATTTTAAAAAACGCGCCGAAATCGATTGTTTGTTCGGCCCTTTGCAATTTCGGACAAATAGAAATTCGGCGTTTTAAGAATTCTTAATAATAAAAATTTGTTTAAAGAGAAAATTATGTCAAATTCTAATTCGAAAAATGAAAATTCGTATAAAAAATAATTATATCTCATTAAATTCTTTCAAATCAAAATTCTAACTAATTTTTTATTGGATGCGCCCCAAAAAAATTATTTTGTTTTTTTCTAATATTTCAATAAATCAATTACAAATATTGAATTTTTATATTAAATGTATAGAGTACATATTAAATCCTATACATTTTTCATTGATATTTCGCATTTTCTAGGGACGCATGAATATTTCTAAAAAAAAAAATTTATTAGCTAGAATTTTACATTTACTGGAATTTTTAGTACAATGCATTTTTCTTTTTGTCGAATTTTCATTTCTTCGAATTTGAATTTAAATTAACACTAATTTCTTTATTTAAGACGGCTTAAACACTTGACATAACCTCAAAACTTGACTAAAAAATTGTTTATCAATAAATAAAAAAAATCGACCGAAATTGTAAATTGACGATAAAAAAAAAACTAATAACAAAAATATTTTGTAGTGAATTTTTTGAAATTAACCAATCACAAATTGATAAATTTTGATTCGTCAATTTTAAAAATCGCGCCAAAATCTTTTTTGTCAATTATTTATTCGGTCAAATAAAAATTCGGAGAAATAAAGATTGACAATAAATTGGAAATATATTGTGGCGTTTAAAAATTATTTGATTCAATTAAAATTCTGTCAAAAATTCAATGATTTAAAAATTATATTAACTGATAATTTTGTTTAAAAAAAAAAAAAATTCTATGAAATTGGATCATTCGAAAAAATGAAAATTCGAATAATAAAAAATTTTATTTAATTAAATTCTTAAATTTTAAATTCATTCAAAATAAAATTTGAAAAAATTTTCATGAAATATTTATGCGCTCCAAATCAAACATATCGATAATCGATATATCAAAATATTTATAAAAATTTTTTTATTTTTAAAATTTTATATTTCGATCTATATTAATTAATATTTTGCTATATTTTAATATACATATATATCCATTGATATTTTGATATTCTAGTAAATTTCTCTACGTATATATTTAGTAAAACTTGATTATTGATTATTATTATCGATCTTCGATAAATGCTCTGTAAAAAAAATAAAGCGATATCCATTATTAAAAGTCGTTATAACGAAATTTTTAAAAAAAAATTTTCTGTTTAAACAACATTTCTTACTTTTTGTACGAAATATTTGATAATATTAATTATCAAATAATAATTTTTTGAATTTTAATAATTTTGAATACTATAAAAAAAAGTTTGAAGTAATGTTTCAAGAAAAAGGAATTTTCGCTGCTTCGGTTCAAAAACGACTGGGAAAATATTGACTGGTCACTTCTGAAATTTTTGTTTGTTGAAACAAGTTCTTCGAAACAGCCAAAGAAAATAAAAAAAAAAAAAAAGTTAACGAGTCTTTTGTAAATCCAACGACGAAACCTTTGGGAACTGAAAACCGTTAAAAATAGATGTTTTTTTTTTTTGCTAAGCATAATTTAGTTTTTAGCTAATGATAATTAAATATGTATAAGAACGAAGAATGAAAAAAAATCCTCTGAATAATCGTCATTTTAAGAATGAATTCACAATTGGGAAAAAGAATAAGAAATTTTTTTTTCAGTTTATGATTTAAATTTTTGTATTTTTTATCGTTTAGTAATAATTTGAGAAAATTTACTTTTGAAAATATTTTTTTTTTTGCCTTTTAATTGTGGAAAACTCTTATTCTTTTTAAACATAAAGATAATAACATATAAAATAATTGAAAGTGATTATATTGTGGTTCGCTTTCATTAATTTTTACTCTTGGTGCTTTATATGCAAAAATGTGGTTTTTAATTATAAATGCGCGTGTTTTTGCAAAAATAAATTTTTAATAAAATTTTGCGAAAAAAATGCTACTACAACTATAATATATAGACATAATTCGAAACCCTGAAAGGCTGTTTTTGTTAAATTTTAACGGGGATCGAATAAAGTTGGATGTTCTGTAATTTATTTTATTTTTATGTCTATACAATAAAAATAAACGAATTTAAATTTGTGTTGAGTTTATTTTTTTGAATACCATTCGATAAATTAAACTAAACAATAATTACACTTAAAATATGTATAACATAATCTCAAACTAAAAAATTATTCTTTCACAGAAAAATATATTTAAGGGGAGGGACCGTTGAAATTTCAACTCATCGAAATTAATGTTGTTAAGGGGTGTCAATTTTTTTTTTGGCATTATTTGAGATCGAAAATTATTGTGAAATATCAAAATTAAAAAAAAAGTTTTTTTTTACCATTTTAGAAATTTTATTTTTTGAAAAAATATAATTTTTAAAAATTCATACGATTGATTGTTCAATAAGCAATAAAAATTTTTTTTGACTAGTTTCTTCTCTCTCCTAGAGCGTTGTAATTTAACAAAGAAGGTATATATGAAAAATAAAGTAAAACAAAAAAAGAAATGTTTTCAAAAATCTTATTAACTATCGACATAATTTACATTAATTAGACATCTGTTTTTGCATACAAAGTCTATACATATATTTTTTTTTTTTTTATTATCCTTTCTTCACACACTATTCGTAATGTAGTGTCGGAGGCAGTGGTACATTATAATATCCATGGAATCATATATTCCTCACAGAAAGTGAAATAATTTAAAGTGAAGAAAAACACTCATAAAATTATATCATTGTTGTATTAATATATTTACAAAATTTTATTAAAACTTGCTAACGACTTCGACATTGTACACTTTATTCCAACTTATATACCATTCTTAATTCAATGAAGAAAACGAAGAAAATTTATTATTATTTTTTTTTTTTTTTGATAGCGATAATAATCTCAATTGAATTACGATTATATATTTTAATATATTTTTTTTATCACTCATACATTCATATTTATAATGATTCTTATTAACATAAAGTATAATATCTAAAATTCATTCTTCGTATAACACTTAAGGCCAGGTCCAAGTCGTGTCAGCTGTTTCATTGAAACTTCAAAGGAACAGCTGACTCAACTTGGACCTGGCCTTAAGTATGCATTTATGTGACAATATTAACCCCAAATTTGTAGGGAAGAAGGGTTTTTTTTCTCTCTCATCTATATTCGATATCGTCTCATTTCTTTCAATAATTATTATTTTAATTTTTTCAATAAAATTTTTTTTTTATCGCGATTTTCTTTTTCTCATTTTCCTTTATCAAAATTTTGTACGAAATTAAAAATTATCAACTATATATAAACGTAATTTTTTTTTTATTATAAATTGATTGTAATATTCATTAAATAATTTTATTACGAAATTTTGTAACAGTACGTTATAAAATTCTTTTGTAAAATTATTTAATGTAAATGTTTCAATAATTAATTAATTAAAATTATTAGAAAATTGTTGGAACATTTATTGTGAATTTGTTATCTCTATTTTAATTTTTTGTTTTTAAAATAATCGAATTTTGATATATTAAGGGAATTTGTGAATTCCCAATGACAATAAATTTAAAAAAGAATCGGATTGACAGTCAAAAAAAAATTAGTTCATATTTTTATCCTATTCTAAATTGATTAAAAAAAACAATTTTCAATTTAGATATTTTTCAATAAAAAAATAAGCAATTTTGTTTTTAACATTTTGAATTATTAAAAATTGCAGATTCGGATATTTGTTAAAAACTGACATAACCTCAAACTAAAAATTTGTTATTAACAACAAATAAAACTATAATTAAAATTGATTTTATTAAATTTCGAAGGATTACAATTTTTGCATAAAAAATATTTTGTTGGCATTTACTGTATAATAAATAATATTATTATATAATTATAATAAATAATATTATAATAGTAATAATATTATTAATAATTATATTATTATTTATTATTATTATTATTATTATTAATAATAATTAATAAAATTTTATAAATTTATTTGGTGGCAAACCATTTTTTATTTTGAGGTTATGTCAAGAGGTTGAACCGCCTTAAGGCCAGGTCCAAGTCGTGTCAGCTGTTCCATTGAAACTTCAAAGGAACAGCTGACTCGACTTGGACCTGGCCTTAAGAATGTTAAAAATTAAATTATTTGCATTTCTGCAATTTTTTTTTTTATTTAAATATAGAAAAATATAAAGTTAGACTAATTTTTTTCCAATTTCTTGACCGATTCTTAATTAAAAGTTTATAATATTATATCGATGCTTATTTTTTTTTGCATGTGAAATATTTATAATTTTCATTATATACTCATACTTTCCAAAATAAAATATTCTCGTAAAACTAGACAAATAATACTTAATGTTAAGATCGCAGCTCTTTTAAGTGTAATTTTTTTCAATTACGGTCCAAATTTTTAATTATTAATCAATTAAAATTTAATTATTTTACAAAAAAAAAAATCAGAATTCTTTTGCTTTCAGCCCCTAAGATTGAATTAATAAGAAAAAAATATTCCTGTTTTTTTTTTAACAAACTTAAAAAATGTCTCAAATGCCTTCTAATTTTTCAAGTATTTTTAAATAAAAAATGAAAAATTTCTGACAACAGAAAATTGGTTTTTTTTATATAAAAAAAAAGAAACTTTATGTAGTTTTTAGTAAACGTCTTGCAAATTTAATTATTTTTCAATTCAATTAATTTTAAATGGCAATTCTTATTTTTAATTTAATTACTTTAAAAATTAATTTATTTCCATATTTAATATTTATTTATTTTTATTAAATATTTATTAATGTAAAAACATTCAAATTCGAAGTTCATCTTTTACACCTAGAAAAAAGATTTCTTTGAAACAAAGAAATCGTTATTTAAAATCACTTTTTGAACAGTTTCCCATCCCTGAATTTCAGACAGAAATATCTTCTATCCTTTTCTGCCTCATGTGATAAAATTTATGATTTTAATGTACTAGTTTCCCATCTCTGGCTTTCTACAATGAACTTTTTCGCACTTCCCAACCCTGATTATCTGTTTTTAAACCAAATGTGAATTAAAAAATATTTTCTTTACTTTTACAAAAAAAAAATTTTTGAAATTAATTTAATGTCCTTGAAATAGATTATAAAGTAAAAATTTATTTCATTAATTTAATATTTTTACATTATATTTTAATAAAAATACGAAATAATGAATAAAAATTTATTTCATACTGAAAAACTAGTCTAAAATCATTACTATTTATAAAATAAAAATTATTTCTTTGATTCAAATAAAAAATTTCGTGTAATCGAAGAAATATTTCTTTGTGTTAACAAAAAGAAGTAAAGAAATAATTTATTTAAATTTAAAAAAAAAATTTTTTTGATCCTATAACAATGCACAAAATTTCTTTGATTCAAAGAAAACTTTTTTTGAAGAAATCTTTTTTCTATAGGTGTAGATAAACAAAATTTCAATAAATATTTTGTCTATTTAGCGTTATTTTTCATAAATTTTACGCATCTAGACGCAAATTTTCACGGAATTTTTTTTTTCATTTAAAATTATACAGAAACTTTTAAAGAACTTTGAAACACAATTTTGTTATTAAAAAAAAATACAGTACATTTTTTTCAATTATCGCAGTTGAAAATATCCGACACCAAATTATTTGGCGTTTTTAAAAATTCAACGATATTTTTAAATATCTCTTAAGGCGCTCTCACACCTTTTTTGGCTGCCTGCAGGTTACCATGGCAACGCATGAGAGTGAATGCGATAGAAAATTTGAATATTCAAATTTTCTGTCTCACTCAAATCCGTGCGTTGCCATGGTAACCTGCAGACAGCCAAAAAGGTGTTTCAAATTTTAAATCAGGGAAGATTTTATTTTTAGTTATAATTTATTTTCTCCCCATTTTGTTTTTGTTTAATTTAATATTTTCCCTCGCAGTTTACAAATTCTGCTTCAGATCAATTTTTTTTATGTATTTTCTTCAAAATCCTGTGAAATCCTGCCAGTGTCCTCTTTGCGGTCTGTACTGATTTCCACTAATATGAACCGAATCGGGATTACTAAAATAGACAGTTTTCTGTCTATCATTGTTATTGTTATTATTATTATTATTGTTCCTGGTTAATTGGGGAAGAAATGAAGGACTCGGTACAAAAGATTTATGCTGTTGAATTGGTCGTGAAAATTTATAAGTATTCTCCGATGGCTGAAGAATTGTATCCCGTCCTAATTGTTGCCTATGCAATGGAAGGACAAAACCACTTGGAAGATTTGTTTCTTGATTTAATGATGGTGTGAGTGCTTCATTTAATGTTACGTCGTATTCACTTTCAGGAATATCCTGTAGGCGTGTTACTTCATTTAATTTTTGTTTTGCTCTAAAATTCCCTGGACCTGTTGGCTGATCGTGAATATCAAAATGATTTTGTTCTGTCACTGGAATTACACGTGGATTATTGTTACGCACTAAAGCGGGCGATGTGGGTAATTGATTTTGATGATAATTCCATGATTGGGTGGTTCTTTCTTGTTGTGGTGGTTCTTGAAGTCGTCCTTGATGTAGTTCGGGTCTTTTTTGACGCTCATCAGGACGACGGGGATTTAATTCCTCGGGTCTTCTTTGATGTTCCTCAAGGCGGCGTTGTTCCTCCTCAAGTCGTCGTTGTTGTTCCTCGAGAAATCTTTGATGATCCTCGGGACGTCTTTGAATTTGATTTAGTCGCTTTTGACCTAAATCGGAGTCTTCGGGGCGTCTTATTTCCTCTGGTCTTCGTAATAATTCCTCTTGTCTCCTTGGTAGTAATTCATCAGGTCTTCGTAGTAAAACTTCCTCGGGTCGTCTTTGTAAAATTTCCTGTGGTCTTTGTTCGGAATCTTCGGTTCGTTTTGGTAGTTCCTCGGGTCTTCTGTATTCGTTAATTTTTTGAACAGTTTCATCGGGTCTTCGATGAGTCTCTTGAATTTCTTCAGGTCTTCTTAAATCCTCAGGCCTCTTTTCTGTTTGAATTACTTTATAGGCGTTGTAAAGTGTTTTATTTTCCCAACGGCTTTTTGATTTTTCCTCCCGATCTGATTCCTCCTTGGCTCCAGGTGCTTTGGAACCCACTGGTAAAAGTCCTCGAGGATTTGGATTTCCCCCACGGGAAGGAAGGAAGGGTCTTTTGACAATTCTCACAGGAGTTCTTGGTGGTAAAGTAGGAGCCGATTCTTCTTCATCGTAATATTCGGCAGTGTATTCAGTTTCTTCTTCGCCCTCAGATTTTTGTGTGGGTCTCCAATATTTATCCGGCAATTCTTTAGTTTCATGTTGATGTTTTAAGAGTTCGATTTCTGATTTTTGATAATCTTCGTCTTTTGCCTCGGGTCTGGGAGGAGCTGTAGTGGTAGTAGAAGTCGTTGTGGTCGTTCTGTCGTAAATGCTGGATCTTTGAGTTGATTCAATTGTTTCCTGTGGATCTTTTGTTCTTGGCTTGAAACGTTCGGTTTCCCTTTCACGATTTAAAGGTCGCGAGGATAAAATTGGTCTTTCCGAGTCTTGCGATCGGCCATTGCTTCGATCTCTCTCACGATCCGCTACTCTTTCGGGAACCTTCCCACGATCCAGTGAACGATCACGGCTACGTTCTAACCCTTTATCGCGCTCGTAAAAACGATCCCTCGGGCGTTCAGGATGTTTTCGCTGTCTTACGTCCTCCTCTTCGTCCCTGTATCTTGTTCTATTGAAGAAAACGAAATTTTTTCCCAAATTAGAAATAAAACAAATTAATTTTTAATAAAAAAAAATTTACCTTACCTGTAGGGTCGATCTAAATCTCTATCCCTAGTTTCGTAGAAATCCCGTTCTCGAAATGGAGGTCGTCTCCTTAGGGGTCGACGTGGTCTAACGTCCTCTAAATCGTCATCGTAATATTCATCCATTAGATGTGTATCACTGGGTCGTCTTCGAGGTTCTTCTGTAACTACAACAATTTTTTAAATTTTATAAGGAAATTTTGTTATTAAGGCAACTTTTTCTTACCAACAGGCGGTTGCGTTGATGTCACTTTATAAGCGTATTTATCCTGTTCGGAAATAGGTACCGGTCTTCTTATTTTCGGCGGTGCTCGTGGTCTTGAATAGACTGATAAATTGGGAGCTGCAGGTTTAACGAGTCCTTCGGTACTTCCAGTTGTCGCCGCTACTGTTTCTTTATCTTCATATTCATCTTTAAATCTGATTACAAATGAAATATAAGTAATTTCTTCAAAGCTCAATTGCAATAGAAAAATCATACCGTTTATCTGTAATTTCCCTGCTTCTTGAATCCAATGTTCTGCGATCGTCAAATTCACTATCATCGAGATCCTTACTCCTGGAACCTGGTTCCTGATCCCTGGTTCTCGATCTCGACTCCTCCTCCAGTGTATCTCTATTTGAATTAAACATTTTTTTCCTATTCGGCCTCACGGGAAATCGTTCCCTTGGACTTGTTTCTCGTTCATCCGTGTCACGTGATCTATCACGAAAATCTCGGTTTCTATCACGATCACGTCTGTACGTTCTTTCCTCATAATCCTCATAGTCCCTTCTGTCGTATCCACGAAGACGTCCTCGTGAATCATATTCATCGTCATAATAATCCTCATAGTAATCGTATGAAGGACGTCTTCTAAATGGTCTTCTTCTTCGACCCGGTTCTCGATCACGTGTTGCAGGTCGACTTGTGGGAGCTGCTATTGGTGCAGAAGTTGTTGTTGTTGTCGACGGTGTCGTTGTTGTCGTTGTTGTTGTCGTGGTTGATGTCACAGCCTGATATAGAGCATCATTTCTGTGCCAATATTTCTTTGAATTATTGCAATCAACTTCGGATACAAAATGACAGATAAATGTCTTTTGATCAAAGGCCGTGAAGTTGGCGCAGAGAAAATCATAACGTGTCCCATAGAGACAGTGATGATATACCTGAAAATTAATTAATTGTAATTCGTTTTTAATGATATTTTCCTAAAATTGGAGATTTCCTCTGTATTCCATTAGGGAAATTTTGGCGCTAAATATAATTCCCGGAAAGTAAAATGAATGGAAATTTGTAATTCTAATTTTCTCCTCAAGAGGTGCTAATAATAAATCCTATAAATTGTGCAACGAAACTTTATTGTATCAAATTAAAAGAGTACTTTTTTCACAAGTGACATAAATAGTCTAGTTTTTCAATTAAAATTAAGAACTTCCAGATTTGAAGCAGAAAAATTGCCGCGACGATAAGATTACGAGAAACATTCGTTAGCTATATCGCGTTTACCTTAATAGGAAATCATACACTATTACTGGGAAGTAACTTTGTTTCATCACACAATTTGATCCATGCGGACTTTTCCTGAGACTGATTTCATCTCACTTTCTCGTTACAGAAAAAAAGTAAATAATTTAATTCCCAAATGTGATGATGAATTTTTGCCAAATATTTCGAGAAAACTAGAAATTTTTTATTCTTCCGGTTTTTTTTCTGTAAAGTCTCACGACAAACTCGACATTTGCATGACAATTGTATTTGACCGCTTCAGTGCTTCTCGAAGGTGAGGAATCATCACGGAAGTGTCGGTTATCGCTTTCACGATCTGGATGTCTTTCACTATATATATAAATACTGAGTCAAGGAACTACTAAATATGTTTGAAAAAAAAAAACACTTTTTCCATATATTTAATTTATCTCTTAATCAAAATTCAAACTATCAGACAACAATATTTATCTCCTTCGAAAATAGTAACAATGACTATCAATTCATTTTCCAACCCATCGACTCGTGAAATAGTGACCGAATCATGAGATTCACTATCGCTACGGATGAGTCGACACCTTCTAAAAGATTCGTTCTACTTTGTATTGAAAACAAAAAAAAAAAGAAAAATGGTGGAGAAATTTCTTTTGTAAAGACAATTTACAACTAAAATGGTTTAACAATAGAAGCTAATGTCATTATTTAGTCAAAACAGTCAAATGTCGTTCATAATAATCTATTCTTAAATAAGATAGAATAAATTCAATATTTTTTCAAAACAAAAATTCAAAATAGTTTTTATTTCAATATATCAAAAATTTAAATAAAAATTTGAAACATTGAGAAATATGTTAACCTGTAGAAATCTGAGAAATTGAAAAAATTCCATTTTTTTTAAAAATGGAAATTCAAATATTTGAAAGTTTCTGAATTAGAAATTCAAGTATTCGTTTTGAAAAGTTGAATCTAATAAAAGAATTGTAGCAAATAAATTTCTACATGGAATTTCGATTAGATTCAATTTCAGTGAAAGTTCAAATTTTTAGAATTATTTACGAAAATATGTTGACAATTCAGAGTTTTTACAAAACTTTAAAAATTTGGAATAGTTTTATTTACATTTTTGAAAATCAGAGTTTTTAAGTACAAATTTTTTTCTATAATTGGAGTTTCTATAATCCATTATTTTTTCAAATTTCTAGTAAATTCAATTATTTTTATTTCTATTACTTGATTTTGAATAAAAATTTTCAAAAAAATTTCTGTTTCATTATTTTGACAGTGAAAATCGTGAAATTAGTTTAAAATTATTTTTTTAACTTAGAAAGTGTTGGAAAATTGTATTTTAAATAAATATCTCTTTTCTATGCACAACACTCACAAGAAGTGTAGAAAATTTAAGTTATAATTTTTTTTTTTTTTATAAATAAAGAAAGTACGATTTGTGTCGCACGAAAAATTTCATACTTAATTAATAATTTTAAAAAAATAATTGAATATAAAATATTTAAAATAAAAAAGAAATTGAATTTATACAACCAAAAATTGAATTTAATAATAAATAATTCAAATTTTATTGAATTTTATAATAATTAAGTAAATTTAAAAAAATGAATTTTTTAAAACATTTGAAATTTTAATATAATTGAATTTTCCGGAATTTATATCTGCCATCTCTTTTTATTATTTTTCCTGTTTACATTTTTATTGTGTTATCTATTGATATCTTCTCTCTCTTTCTATTATTTCTAGAAATTATATTTCTTTAATTAATTTTTGACTATTGAAATACCATTTCATTATTGCTTCTTAAATGGGTTTTTGGTGTATTTTGAAAATAGTTTTATTTTAGGATCCGAAAATCATGGAATTTTGCAATTAAAAAAAATAGTAGAAACCTTGATTAAATTTTTATCAACTAAACATTCGAAATAATCGAAATTTATTAAACATTTATCGCTGAAAATTGCAGTATATAATATTTCATAAATATTCCATATTATCGATACTAATTTATTGTCAATATGATTATTATCAGATTGAAGAAGATAAAAAAAAAAAGAAATGTTTGCAGAACATTATTCTTGGAAACTACTTTCACAATTTATTCTAGAGAATATAAAACATTATGGACAGCGATGAAAAAAGTACTTTTGTATTGTGGAATAACAATAATTCTATAAACAAGACTATAATTTATTATATTGTAGTTTTAAATTTGAAAATTCTTTTGTAATATAGAAATCGTGATACATATAGGTATATACATCAGGTTTGACCGAGGTTTGACTCATTAAGGAAGTAATGAATGGAACAATAGTTTATTGGCACTTGCATCACGTGATCATAAAAAGATGATTAGCATTAAAGCAAACAGCTGATTGTTATATATTTATAAGATAAATTGCAAGAAAATTAGTGATAAATATTAGTTTCATTCTTCAATTTTTTTTTAGCCTCAAAGGGAAAAATTTTTTTAATGAAAAATGATTTATTAATGAATCTGAATCATTTCGCTGATAGAAATGGTAACTATTGAAGAATATGTGACTGACAATTCTAGGTTAAAGTATATATAAAACTGAACAAAAGCTGAGAGTGAAGTTATGTAAGTCGGTTAAAAATAAAAGCGAACAATTAATGTCAGTTTAAATATATTAAAATGTGATAATAAATTGTGTTCAAGTACTGAATGAGACATGTTAAGACTTCACAAGTATAATTTCTTGCGGTGTCATTAAAGACACAAATCATTTAACATTGCGCGAAACTAAACATTATTTCTTATCGTTATTATTCTTTTTGCCTCTGGGTGTATGAAAATAATAAAATAAAAAAAAGTAGCTTTACAGTTTGACTCTTTGTCACGTGAAAATTTAGAATTTTTTTTTGGGCTATATATTTTATTATAATATTGTGTAATTTAACAAATTGTTTTCTAAAATATTGTATAAATTATAAAATTTATTTAATAAATTATAGTTTCTGAAGAGGAGAGCTGTGCTGTTGAAAGGTAAAGAAAGATTGGATTCTTTTTATTTTTATTGCCGAAATTCCGCCAGGGAATATACAGTGTTTAGATAAACTACTATGACACAAAATGATCAGATTTAGGGCCAATGCACAATAATTTTTTTTTGCTTTTCGCTTTACGCCTTCTGGTGATATCACACCCTTATTTAAACTGTTTTTTTTGGTTTCAGATAACTATGGACAAGAAAGAGGATTTTGAAAGAAGTGAAACGATTTTTAAAGGGTTGTTTTATATTAATGATGAATAATAAAATAATATTATGCAAAACCGTGACTTTTTCTCAATTTTGAGAACTTTTTTTAAAAAATTATTTCTATTGGGGGCCTTCTATTTAGCCCCCAAAAAATTATTTTATTCTGTTCTTGTCAACTACCGCACCCTGTTCTAGTGAAAATTTTGTGAGTTTATAGTTAAAATTAAAAGTAACTAAATTTTCACTAGAGCAGGTTTCAATGTAAACCTAGTTTCCCATCCCTAGCTTTGTACAATAAACTTTTTCGCTTTCCCCCACCCTGCTTATCTGTTTTTAAAACCAACCGTAAGACATTTCAAAAAATAATTAAACAAAAATTCACAAAACTGGGAAAAGTAACGATTCTGTATAATTATCAAAGTTGTTGTTTTATATTAATGATGAATAATAAATGATATTAACGAAGAACAATAATTATGGGATAAAATAATAGAGGATTTTCAAAAAAGTGAAGCATTTTTCAAAATGAAATAAATATATTTTTAATTAAAAGAAATTTGTGCATTAAAATAAAAATTTATTTCTTTGATTCAAATAAAAAATTTCTTTGATTCAAAGAAAATTTGTTTGAAACAATCTTTTTTTCTGGGAGTTCAATCTCCTTTATTCCTTTTTTCTTACCCAGACTTTTAAATATAAAATTTTTTAAAAAAATTTATTTTTTACCCAATAAAAAATAAAATATTTTTTTTTTGTAAATTTAAACTTCTATTACCTGACATTTGTGTGGAACACTGGCGTAAAATCCGTCATGGAGTCCATCACATTTAAAATTAATATCTTCTGGTATACTATTGTAGAATGGATAGTCACTTAAATTGTAACCATTTAATTCACGTGGTAAATTTGGATCCCAGATATAATCGATCTGTGGGTTTCCCGTCAATATGTGACCTGTTGTGCCATTTCCTTCGCCCACTGTAATTGTTGTACTCTAAAAATTTAATAAATTATTAAAAATTTTAAATCGAAAGAAATTTATGTTTTGAGTATCACTAAAAACATATTTTTTTACTTTATTTTAAAGATATTCAATTTTCTTTAAAATTATTTAGAGAAATTATAATTTTATCGAATATTCATGCGTTCAGAAATTTTTTTAGTACATTTTGAAGAAAGCTGCATATAAAACTAATAATATTGGAGATTTTTTTTTAAAATTATAATTTTCTAAAAATTTTCAAGAAAGTATGTATTCTCTTATATTAATTAACTTAATTAACTGAATGATTAAATTGATTTATTCATTTCAATTAATAAAGTCCAGAAAAATATAATTTCTCTCTATATTAGAAATGTTATACAAATAAATATAAGGCAATATTATTATTTAATTGCATCATTCCTATATTAATAATCTCATTAAGAATAAGACAATTTCTCCAAAATTAGAAAAAGATTTTTAAAAAATCTCAATAATCGCTTTAGGCACAATATTCTATTTAAAGTAGAGTGTTTTATTCATGACAATATATTTTATAGATTAAAATTTTTAAAAAACCACAGCTGCAGTGTTAACTAAAAATAGTCACCAAATTATTATATAAGTAAAAAATATTTATTAAAAATTTATTTCTTGGTTTTAGACGAATTTTTTTTTCTTTTCAAAAGTCAATTCATTATATTGGTATATTATGTAATATGTTTTATGTGATAGCATAAGAAGCAAATGGCGCCATAATATGTTTAAAATATTCAATAAATTCGATGGAAACATTTTTACGACGAATGTGTAAAATTTAGTGATGGCATTTTTTTTAGACATTGACTTTATTTTTTTATAAATTTTTTTTTTTCAAATTTTCGTTTTTTAATAAAATTTTTGGACGCCTCAACATTTTATAAAATTATCGAAAGTGGTGCATAAGAGGCGTTATGTAAATCTCGGACCACTTTAGTCAATTCGAATAAGCCTTTCTCTGAATTCATTTGAAATTTTTTTCCACTGTACACTTAGATAGAAAGCGTAAACTTTTCAGGTTTATTTATTTATTTAAATATCCAATAGTTATATAAAATAACCAGTATAATAAACATTCTTATAATTTATAATTCTTATACTTTTTTTTATTATTTTATTATATTATTTTTATTATTATTAACATTATTTATTATTATTATTATTATTACTATTATTATTATTTTTTTATTATTATTAATATTATTTGCATTATTCAAAATAATTGTTTATATTTTTAATATCATTTAATGAAAATTTTCTTTTATTTTTTTTTTTTGAATAATTATTTTGTATTATTAATATTTTTTTTAATTTTAATTCCGATTTTAAAGCAGTAATTTATCAAATTTATAAAACCAAATTAAAAACTATATAAAAATCTACTTAGGCACCCTGCTCTAGTGAAAATTTAGTGACTTTATTGTTAAAACTATATAAAAATCTACTTAGGCACCCTGCTCTAGTGAAAATTTAGTGACTTTATTGTTAAAATTAAAAGTTACTAAATTTTCGACTAGAGCAGGGTGCGGTAGTTGACGAGAATTATGACAAATGGCAACCAACCGTCATAAAAATGATTCTTTAGGACGAGACGATGCGCGTGCATCCATTAACAACTGTCGACAAAAAATTTATTTCACGTGTACTAAAAATTAAAAAAATAACATTTTACCATGAAGGATTTTATTTTCTTTAACAAAATAAATTTTTTTATAATTTTAATAATATTTACAAGCTGAAATTGTAAAATAAATTTTTTTGTCGACGGTTGCCAATGGATGTGCACGCATTGTCTCGTCCTCAAAAATCGTCTTTAAGACGATGCGATTTAGCTATTGTAGAAGCAGCCTAAAAAAACAGATATGGAAAATTGCCATTGTCCCCACTCGTCATTTGTCATAATTCTCGTCAACCACCGCACCCTGCTCTAGTGAAAATTTAGTGACTTTATTGTTAAAGTTAATAGAGCATTTACACCTTCGGCAAAAAATGTTCTTTACTTTGCATTTTCCGAAATACACTTACCTGATTGGTTGTCCACAATGAAAGAGATTCTGGACAACCAATTAGGTAAGTGTATTTCGGAAAATGCAATGTGAAGAAAATTTTTTGCCGAAAGTGTAAGGGTACGATCACACTATCTCATGCATGCAGAAACATTTAGCAAGTCACACTTCAACGAAATCTAGTGAATGTTTAGTAACTTTCTAGTTACAACCGAAATTTTTGGAAAATTACTAGAAAGTTACTAAACATTCACTAGATTTCGTTGAAGTGTGACCGGACAAATATTTCTGCATGCATGCGCAGTGCATGCATGAAATAGTGTGACCGTACCCTAAATGCTCCATAAAAGTTACTAAATATTTTTTTAAAGCAGGGTGCGGTAGTTGACGAGAATTATGACAAATGTTGAGTGGGGACAATGGCAACCTATTGCTATGGAATTATTTTTCTAAACTCGAATTTTTTATTCTTTGTTAAAAGTAAACTACTAATTATCATTATTATCATTATAATAAGAAAATGGAATTTAATTTTTATGAACTTTCGTTTGTTTGCAAATTAAAAAAAAAAAATTATCACGCATATCTAAGTCTCGCAAATATCACAAAAAGGACAAAATGGTTTATGCATGATTATTATAAATATATATTATTTACAGAGAATAGATTATTATTGTCTCTCTCTCTTTCGCCCACATTCATATACCATAAGATGATAATGATACGCGATCATAATGCATTACTGACTTTTACTCACCTATAAATTCATTATTCCATTATTATGACTGTGAGAAAATTGAAAATATCCGTCTTAATTATTTTTTTACGATGAGTTTCTTTTGTAGGTTAATTTCATTATTTATGGCTGATTTGATTGGATGAAAGGCATCAAGGTTGAAATGTGATTGGCTATTTATTTAAGGTATATAGAAAAATAAAAAAATAGAAAAAATTTTTGAAAATTGTTTTTCTTAATTATTATTTTTTTTTTCTCTAAAAATAAGTGTGTAAATAAAAAAAGAGGTTTAATAATTTTTAATGCCTTTAAAAAAATCCTTAGAGGTGAAAAAAATCAAAGGAATTAAAAAAATTAACAGACCTCAACATCGTCACCTTCCCCTCCTTCCGTTTGAGGATCTTCTGTTGATGTTGTGGTTGTCGACGTTGTGGCAATTTTGAATTTTTGTCTTGTGCCTTTGAGAGCGTTCGAAACTGATGTGGCTAGTAAAATACCTAAAAAAAAATTTCAATTAATGTAATTGTAATAATAAAATTTTTATTTACTACCTCAAACAAAAATTTATTTACAATTTTACAATTTACAATTTTTTATTAATGTAATTGTAATAATGAAAATTAAATATTTAATTTAATATCTAAAATAAAAGAACATAAAAATTAATATAATTGTAACAGTAAAATTAAATATATTTAATTTCACTTTATTTTAATTTCTTTCTTCTTAACTTAAAATTCTAATTTATAAAATAGTATTAAAATTTTTTTTATTTTTGGGTATTTTAAAAAAAAATTTCTAAATTTAGATAAATATCCTGACTTTTAATGACTTCAATTATTATTTGTGTTCACATTGAAAGATTATAATCTGCAGTGGAATACTAATATTTTGTATAGTTTTCTTGGACAATGGGACTTTAGAAGAAAGTGTGGTAGAGTCGTCAGGAATAATTTTACGACAGGAAAAAGTCTTATTTACGCAAGTGAGGAAAAATTATGTATCCAGTTTTACTGGATCTTTAGCACCTCATATTTTTGATAAACGAGACATCAGGGCCATAATAAAAATGAATTTCAAAGTTTTTTTTTCAAAAATAAATTATATTTAAAATTTCCAAATGATATTTTTTTCTTAAACTAAAATTTATGAATATATAAATAATTTATAATATTTTTTTTTTAGAAAAAGAGTTAATTTTTAATTAATTATAAAAGTAATGTATTAAAAAAAAATAATAGCACATAACTTTGTTAAGAGTTTTTCTTAAAGGCTAAAGTTAATTTTAAATTTACGCGGGTGTTTAGTGGCGCTATCTGTGAGCAGAGTTGCGTAGAGCCAATTTTGTTAGAGGACGTGGAAGTTCTCAATTACTACTCTTTCTTAGTTCATGACAGTAAGAAGCAACTTTATCGTTTTCTTTACGATGGCGAAACAAAATTTGATTTTAATTAATCCAAATTCATCAAAGTGTAATAACAGTTTTTTGATAAACAAACAAAACCAACCAACCAATAAAAAGTTACTCTAATTAGCAGCAGCGGTCGTAACGTAACATTTACAATTTTTATTGAAAATCAAACAATGCAGCATTTTTTTTTACTGAAATATTAGTTTTTAAAAATTCGACGTATTTAAGACAAAATTTTATTGAGGGTGAGAAGCTAATTAATTGCGGGCATGTTTTTTTTAGGTTAGATGAAACGAGATTCATAAAAATATATCATTCTTATAAATTAAGGGTTTATATACCTTTTCATGTGTCAAAAAATCGATTTTTTTTCATTGCATATATCAAAAGTACATACTCTCCAGAATGTTTTTCCAAAATTTCATAAAAATCGGAACATTAGAACCAAACTAATGGCTGTTTTAATCCGCTACTTCTCAAAGAAGAGTATATACGCTTGAAACTTTAAAGGAATTGTGATTCTTGAGAACTACGGTTACAGTGACATGCGATTTTTTAAAACCGATCGGGCTGAAATTTTCAGGGGTTCTTTATACATACAATAGCTAGTATGTGAACGAAGGAATTTAAATTTGAACCAAAATTAATATTTTTTTTTGGTCAAAAAACCAAATTTTAAAGCCCTAAAATCACGAATATAATCTTCTATTATATTAAGTTAACAAATTTCCAAAAACGACACCGACCTCGTGACCTCGACACCGTCCTTGGAAAATCTATTTTCACTTATTTTCAAATAAATCAAAATACTTTGCCATATGCTTTTAGAAAATCTTACATACTTTTTTTTGTAACATGTTTTTTCAATTTTAACCCAAAAAAGGGTTATTTTGCAATTTTATGTAATTTTTTACGAATTTTTGAATATATACCTTTAAAGTTACTCTATTTTTAAAAAGTTACATATAAACAATTTTTTTCAATTTTTTATGGTTTTTTTTAATTATTTATTGTTGTTTTTTAAATTTTTAGTTAGAAACCTATAATATTGTGCCTAATTTTAAGTGTCATTGAAATCAATTGTTTTTAACTTAATAATTTTAATATTTCTTATTTTAAAACGAAACATCTTCTATTATATTAAGTTAACAAATTTCCAAAAACGACACCGACCCCGTGACCTCGACACAGTCCTTGGAAAATCTATTTTCACTTATTTTCAAATAAATCAAAATACTTTACTTTACTTACCGTAAATTTTCATTAAATTGATAATTGTATGTGAATTATTATTACTAATATAATAAATAATAGTTACTAAATGTGTGATAAATAAAAATTTACATATATTTATTAAGTACCAATTTCATGAAAATTTACGTATACTTGTAAAAAGTAGAACTCGAATTGTTTAGTCAAAATTATAGTGATATAATTATTTGTAAACGTCTTAACCAAAAACTGCGCTTGATTGCGAAAATATTTAATTCAACAAAAATATTTCAAAATAAGTTTTAAAAATTTTAAATTCAAAATGACGGATCCAATATAGCAAAGCATTTTTTTTTAATTGGGGGCCATCCATAAAGCATGTGATGCTTTAGGGGTTGGGGGGAGGGGATCAGTAAAATATCACACTACATGTTAATCGTAAATGAAAAAAGCATCACAAGAGGGAGGGGCGGTGTTAAAATTTCGAAAAAATGTACCACATGCTTTATGGATGACCCCTTGACCGGATTCACTTTAAACTCATTACTCGGGGGTTTTTGGGGTAGCTGATTACGAATCGGAAGTCGGATTTAAAAAATTCAAAATGGCGAATGAATATCTAATTCGCTTGAAATTCGTTACTTGAGATTTTTTGGAGTCGCTGATAACGAATTTGGTATCAGATTTTAAAAATTAAAAATGATAGATCTAATATGATGGAAATGTTTTTGAAAATTCATCTAATTTTCTTGAAATTCGTTACGCGGGGGTTTTTGGGGTCGCTGATTACGAATTTGGTATCAGATATTAAAAATTCAAAATGGCGGATCCAGTATGGCGGAAATTTTTTAAAAATTGATCCAATTTTCTTGTATTTTGTTACTCAGGGGTTTTTGGGGTCGCTGATTACGAATTTGAGGTTAATTTACAAAAATTCAAAATGTCGGATCCAATGTGGCGGACAAATTTTTAAAAAATGTATCGGATTCACTTGAAACTTGGTACTCTGTGGTTTTTCGGGTCACTGATTACGAATTTGAGGTCAATTTACAAAAATTCAAAATGGCGGATCCAATATGGCGGACGAATTTTCAAAAAATATATCAGATTCACTTGAAACTCGTTACTGGGGGGTTTTATGGGTCGCTGATTACGAATTTAATATCAGTTTTTTAAAATTTCAAATGGTGAAACCAATATAGAGAATTCGGTCAGTAATTTTAACCAAGATGGACTAATTTAAATTACTTTCGCGGATTAGTTTAGATATAACCAAAGTTTTAAGCAGTGTTCGAACCGACATTTCACAATTTTATAAAAATGACGCAGATTTGAATATATTTTTAAAAGAAAAAATCTCTAATTAATTAATTATAAAAACATACAGAAGATGAACGTATGTAAAGTATATTGAGAGAGGTCGTTGAAACGAGTATCCGTGAGTTGCGCAAATCATCATGTAAAATATTGTATCTACAGAAGGACGTCGACATATAACAAAAAAATAAAAAATTGTAGATCAACGAGAATAGTATATACATTTATATTTATATGTATATATATACAGTGATAATATGCTGCATCCAACGCGAGAACTTGTAAAGCAATGAGAACTTTTAACGCGATCGTGATGCAATTGACTCTCGCGGGGTTATAAAATGCATTCAGGTTGGGTAATTGTCTTTAACCGGATCAAGGCTACCTATCAATCGTTTCCTCTCGGGCGGTGTGTGCACTCTCAGGAGGTTCCGTGAAAAGTCGTGCACCTGTTAACGATCGGTTCGTGTCTCTCATGACTTCGTGATAGACGTTTCTTTATAATCTATAGTCAGATGAGATATATAGTACAGTGGTGTTTATTTCGAAATTTTGAAACTGAATAGAAAACACTTTTAGATGATTATAATAGAAAAATCTTCTAAATATCAAACAAATCTTTTTTACCCTTTGTGAGATGTGTTTTTTTAAATGTTGAATAAATACTTTTTTTTATTTAATTATTTAAAACATGAAATTACAGATTTACTTATAATTAATTATAATTTCATTTAAAAAATTTTTTTTAGTTATAATTATATTTTTTAGACAAATTTTTCGCTTTCTCAAATTAGCATTTAACAAAAAAATTTTTTTTTTTAAATAAATTTTTACTTCTTTTTAGGTATACCGAATTTTTATTTGGCAAAATTTTTGTTTAACTGAAAAATTATCTTTCTCCAATTTTTTATTTAAAATAATTCTAATTTAATCGGATTTTTATTTAGCATAATTTTCAATTCATTGAATCTTGATTAGTCCGAATTTTTTTTTATTTAAACGAATTGTTGTTTAGTAGAATTTTTAAAACGTGAAATTTTAATTTATCTGATATTGCAAATAACCGAATAAAAAAATTGATAAAAAATCTTAAAAAGTAAAAATTTGAAAATCAATAAAAAAATTAATTTTACAAAAAAATTTAATAATTAAAGTATAAAAGTAGACACACATGTTTACATAATATTTGTAATTTCATGTTTTGTCTCACGAATATATAGTTATCTAAGAATGTATGTAACCATATGGCGTAAAATGAAAAAAAAAACTATCATTTTTTTGATTTGACTTTCTTTTATAATATTAAAAAAAAATTGAGTCAAGTTCACGTTTGTAAAAGAAGGAAAAAAAAGCCATCAACGTGAGTTGATATATCACACTGTCTGTTGTAATAATTGTCGATTAACACTTTTTTCTAGAAATGAATATATAAACGTTTGTTATATCTGTTAAAGAGCACGAAAAAAAAACCATTATGTGATTCAACAACTTTTTCTCTTACATTCGTGATGATAAAAAGTTATTATCTATGTATAATTTTCTAGTAAACATTATAGT